AAGCATGCATTCCATGCAAAAGTTGATTTTTATGCAAGCCCATGAATTTCACTACCCAAGAATGGGTATAAAAACATGTGCATTTACGGGATTCCATATGCATTGTTTAGCATCGTGCTGATAATAACCACTCAGAAAAACAAAAGAATTACGCAATTATTCAACAATACGAAATGCCACGCCTGTCCCAAAATGAGCGTCTGCGAGCCATCGGTATGCTTGAAGCAGGATCGAGTCAACGTGATGTTGCAAGACAATTTAACGCCCACAGAAACACCATTGGGTGTTTATGGCAACGTTGGCAATGGAAGAATGCAGTCAGAGACCATCCTCGGAGTGGCAGGCCACATGTAACCAATAATTGACAAGACTACTGGATTTGAACAACACACCTACAAAATCGATTCCAGCCAGCAACAGTGACGACCGCAAGAAGCATCCCTGGCCTTCGACGAATATCTTCACAAACCGTACGTCGTCGCCTCAGATGTGCAGGGATTGTCGCCAGAAGACCTGCCAGAGGTCCCATTTGGACAGGAAACCACCGTCAAGCACGTCTACACTGGACAGCCATGCAGTGGGGACAAGTTCTATTCACTGACGAGTCTCGTTTTCACCTCAGCCACAGCGATGGACGGATTCGAGTGTACCGACGTTGAGGTGAACGTTACATCAGGGTATGAAACTCCCAAAATTTTCAGCCAGACCACAGGACTGGCAAGCTGAAATACTTGCCAGCCCTGACCAAAACCTGCCTGCCCACTATAATCATATGTTTCTCAGGATAATTTAATTAAAACTTTAAATCGAATTCATTGAACATGAAGTAATGCAAGAAAAGAAATAGCAAACACTTTTTAGGTCAGATTTGTATTTAATATCCTAGAATACATCATGTAAATAATGCTTATCATCGGGAAATATTTAGAATATTTTTACATATAAAATATAACCTGACCGTCGGGCAGGGGGATTTGAAAATCTGGCAGCCCGAGTTGAAATCAACCCGTCTCGGACGGTCGGGCAGGCAGGTATTTCGAACACTGGTTACATCAATCATTGTGTCATGGAAGAAGATCGGTTCAGGGGCGGCAGTGTTATGGTATGGGGTGGGATTACAGCAAGACAGAGGACCAGTTTGATAGAGGGAAATCTCAATGGATAACACTACCGAGATCATCGGCCCTGTTGTTCTAACGTTTTTGCGTCCTCATGGCCCAGGCATTACCTTACAACATGTCAACGCCCGGCCTCATATTGCTCGACTTGTTGAGGATTCTCTTCAACAAAACAATGTGGATGTCATCCCCTAACCGGCCCGCTACCCTGATCTCTCACCGATTGAACACATGTGGGATTAGATGGATCAGCGCCAGGAACTTCGAAACATGCTCCAGCAGATACCCTACAGGACATCCCATGAGACAAAGATGTGTGGACACACACTATTGATTTGTAAATTGACATTTTGGCATGTTCATGTTTTTTATGAAATCACGCATTTTCTGAAGTCAGTATGGCAAATTAAACTATTTGAACACTTACAGGAGTCTTTTATCTGTTGCAAACCGAAATTGTTTCAGATTTGGTAAAAAACATAACTTTGCATTAAATCTTATTCAATGTCACAGGAACTTTTGTTGTTCAGTATATTATCCTATCCTCTTTCTTTACCCAGTCCCCGGTCTACAACGTTCAGCAGACGCCAAACTGGTGGGAATAGCAGGTATACAAAGTCAGGTTTAGGAGCTAGATGATTGGCTTCTTTGACTAATGTGTATTTGCATATTTTTACTGCCAAATGATGTACAGTAGAACACGGATATAACGAACTACAAGGGACCAGAGAAATCAGTTTGTTATATCCGTTGTTCGTTATACATGTTTTCGCCGAAACGTCCTCCATCTTGGATAAGACAAAACACTATACACGTAATTGCAGTGTTACACGTGAAATCTTCACTGCAAGTTCGTCAGCTTTGGTCTGCAGTAACGGACCACTAAGCGGAATGTTTTCGCTTCTCACGGCTTAAAACCATTTGAAGAAGGCGTCCTCTACGTCTTGGTGATTAGCAGCTCGTAACCTCCAAAGTCATGCGAATTGCTTGATTCAAGAATGGATTCTCTCTTCTTCATAATGGCACTTAATGTTGATTTTGGAATGTCAAATTCCATTGCAATGTCTTTCTTGGTTTTTATGCCAGCATCAACAGCATTAATAATTCTCAATTTTGTGTCTAAACTGATGGCTTTCCTCTTACTATTGCCCGCCATGATAGCATATTCAAGTCAGCTGACACTTGGACACAATCTCGTAAAATTTATTTGTTTAATGTTTGTTTTAGAGACAAGATTACATGTACAGGTAAGATTAACACAATGCAAATTTAACAAGGTTGATCCGTCACCGCTGATTGTATTGATTCGCCGCTGATTGCGTACAGCCAATTGTCAGTGACACTTGACAGTGGGTGAGATTTCTCAGTGAAGAATGTTGTAATGAAGCACTTCCTTACACAGACTGGTTACCATGGTTACTGGTGGATATTGTGTTGTGTCATGTCCCTCATGTGCACAATTTAAGCTGACAGCCATACTGGATTTCCAATTAATAATTTATTTTCACATGGCAGGATTTCTTTCCATTTCAACATGATCAAATAGTGCTCAAATAAAATAGGGTCAATGTGTCAGTCTGTGCTAAAAAGATTTAAGTCTGCTAGCCCGAATTTGTATTTTGGCATGTAGGACTAGTATTAGCTGATCACTACAGTCAGGAAGGTAGCATAGTGTTGTGTCAGTTGAAAGGCTGCTACATTCTCTTGTGTGTTTGCGGATGTGTCAACAATTACATCTGACATCACATGCACTGCCCTTGGGCACTATTCATATCCTGTAACCCCCTTGACAGTGGTAGTGCAAAAGCGATTGAAAAAATAAGTAACTTATTCTGTAGACAAAACCTTCTAAAATTATATATCTGTGAGGTATGAATAGTATTTGACTTAAGTGTACAAACATCACAACACTAAACTACCTTCCAAGACCAAAAGAAATTTTCTAGACTCATACTTCAGTATAACCGCTAAAGTTGCAGATTGCACAGCCTTCTGATACAAAACAAGGAATTTCAGGGGTCTTTCGAATACTATACCAGCAAACCTCAATGTCCCCACGACCCCCATCAATGTCTAGCACTGTAAAACATCCCACCCGTCAACTAGCTGAACCTGTTGCTGGAGTGAGTGGGGTTTAACACATAAACCATGGAATAGGTTGAGTCTGGGATCTGAACCAAACAGAACAGGCACCCAGGTGACTAAGGGACACAACTCTGCACAATCAACCAAAGTCCTTGTGACCACTGGGCCAACCCTGCCCTCACATCATGCAGGAAGCAGACATACCCAGCATACCCTGTTAGATGGTCCAGATTAGTTGTAGCTACACTGTCGTTTGTCAACATGTTTGCAACAATTCACAACTAGTTCTCAACACAATATGGCCGAAGTACTGCTGACGTGACCAATCATATTTTAAACTTGAATTCACTCTCACTCACTCACTCACTCCAAGTGTGAAAAAGAAACGTGAATACTTTTAACTTAGAATCAAGCTGTTGTCATCAAAATTGCACATCTTCAACATCTGTTAAAAGTCCAACAAACCTTTGAAGATCCCGGGTTGGAATAGGTCTTCAGCAACCCATGCTTGCCGTAAAGGCAACTATGCTTGTTGTAAGAGGCGACCCAGGATCGGGTGGTCAGCCTCGCTGAATTGATTGATGCATGTCATTGTATCCCAGTTGCTTAGATCGATGCTCATGATGTCAATCACTAGATTGTCTGGTCATGACTTGATTATTTACAGACTGCCATCATATGCATACATGATATAGCTGGAATATTGCTGAATACGGCGTTAAACAACAAACAACAAATAAACTCCAACACTTCATAGGAAAAGACTACAAGGAAACAGTTTGAGACTCTGCATTATCATGATTATGATTACAGGAGCATTCAAATCATTGTTATGGTGTTTCAATAGCCTGGGCTTGTCACTATTTACTATGTTATCTAAGTATTGATGCATCTGACATTGAAGTCATTGTGTGAACAGTGCTTCAGGTAACCAGAATGTAAATATGGTCAAGGACATGCAAAAACCTCACCCCAAGTCACCCTCAGTCTGTGGGCCCCAAAACAATTTATTTCTGATACCTCGACCATCGTTTTCACAGGTTATAGGTCACATAGCTCTTACATGACATCTGGTGAGGTGAAATGGGAATTATTGCACTTATATAGTGACGTGCATGCACTGGTGTGTGGCTGCTTGTACCAGTCTGGACTTATGCTGGTTTTATAGTGCTACCCCACAAGATACCATGCTGCAGTTTAACATGGATATCCCACTCAGACACAGAATATGGAATCCAACCTGACCAGTCCTTGTTTAATCCCCTTAATGCAGAGTATCAGGCAGGGTAACAACAAGTACCTTGTTTAATCGCCTTAATGCCGAGTACAGACAGGGTAACAACAAGTACCTGTTTAATCCCTTTAATGCAGAGTATCAGGCAGGGTAACAACAAATACCATTTTTCAACATCTTTTGGTATGTTTTTTTTAATCTTAAATTTAACTTTCTTAAATTAAGAGGTATTTTAACATTGCATTTAGCACCATGATGGAAAACCAAGTCAAAATCAAACCTTTCTCTCATTACTGGTTGTCTGAGAAACACGTCACGTTTGTCATGTTAGAAAAGTAACATAGTTAGAATCATAATACAAACCGAATTCATAAATCTCTCATGTCAAAATTTCCAATTTGAGATTTTACTGACCTATATGACATTTTCTGTAGATCTTAGGCCAACACATTGAACTCGGAGAAGGCCAAGATCCATCCCTGATACCTACCAGACACTGACGAGTGACAAGATTTACCAGGATTGCTGTGGTACAATCTGTGCTAGTGACAAGCTATATTTACCTGTTTTGCTCTGGGATGGAGCCACCCAGGTACAGGGACTGTCCTGCCTGTTTCGCGGCCCAATCTCGCGTCCGATTGACGCGAAGCAGATCCCCTTCAGTCTGCAACAGGATATAGACATGGTCAAACAAAAGTTCAAGTGTGATGCATCATCTTACACTAAAAATAGCACAACAGCTGTGTTGATGTTAAGCTGACCATAGGTCATCTGTGGTTTTAATGTTAGCCACTGATAAATCTAGAGCTAGAACAATGGCACAGCCTCGCATGAACTTTGGTACCTTGATAGCATTAATTGATGTAATTCATCACATATTTTGCATTTTAATTCAAAGTAATTAACATAATCATACTCATGTAACAATGGTTACATGATACATGTCGCAACCAAACTTGAACTAGCTGTGGCTGATATCACTGCTGCAGTTCTGCGTTTATCAGGGCATAAGTGGAGTATTTCACTGAATCCACTTCCCTTATAAGCTGAGTTTTTGTTTGTTATTTAACGCTGCACTCAGCAATATTCCAGCTATATGATGGTGGTCTGTGAATAATCAAGTCTGGACCACACAATCCAATGATTGACGTCATGAGCATCGATCCACGCAATTGGGATACGATGACAAGACAGCGAACCTGACCTCCTGATCCCATTAGTCGCCTCTTACGACAAACATAGTCGCCTCTTACAGCAAGCATGGGTTGCTGATGACCTATTCTCCCCCCGGATCTTCACAGGTCCTGAGTGAAGTATTACCCTTCATTGGGATTTAATGTTATGACAAGTCATCCATACTCGATTATTTACATGCCACCGTTACAAAGCTGGGATATTGCTGAGTGCATAGGGGACACAACAAGCTAACAAACACCACACTGGATCCACAGTAAGTACTGTACTTGCTGTCACTGCATCCACAGTAAATACTTTACACACTGTCACTGCATCTACAGTAAATACTGTACTAAGTAACAGACACTGCATCTACAGTAAATACTGTACTCGTTGTCACTGCATCCACACCTAATACTTTATACACTGTCACTGCATCTACAGTAAATACTGTACTAAGTAACAGACACTGCATCTACAGTAAATACTGTACTCGCTGTCACTGCATCCACAGCTAATACTTTACACACTGTCACTGCATCTACAGTAAATACTGTACTAAGTAACAGACACTGCATCTACAGTAAATACTGTACTCGCTGTCACTGAATCCACAGCTAATACTTTACACACTGTCACTGCATCCACAGTAAATACTGTACTCGCTGTAACTACATCCACAGTAAATATTGTCCTCAGTAACAGACACTGCATCCACAGTAAATACTGTACTCACTGTCACTGCATCTACAGTAAATACTGTACTGGCTGTCACTGTGTCCACAGTACATACTGTACTCACTGTCACTGCATCCACAGTAAATACTGTACTCGCTGTCACTGCATCAACAGTAAATACTGTACTTGTTGTCACTTCATCCACAGTAAATACTGTACTCGCTGTCACTGCATCCACAGTAAATACTGTACTCAGTAACAGACATTGCATCCGCAGTAAATACTGTATTCAGTAACAGACACTGCATCCACAGTAAATACTGTACTCAGTAACAGACACTGCATCCACAGTAAATACTGTACTCAGTAACAGACACTGCATCCACAGTAAATACTGTACTCAGTAACAGACACTGCATCCACAGTAAATACTGTACTCCTACAAATGATCAACAATGATGCAGTGCAAGCTTGTCCTATATTCACAATGCATAACCTTCTAGCTTTACATCATGCCAGATTCATCTGTAATCTGAAACACGTCCCTGCAACAGCTTGTTGGAACTGCATTAAATACTCATGGGTCTATCTGCGTAAGTATCAATGACATAACTCCTTCAGCTAACGATCTTAAGACATCATCTGCAGTCTGGGACTTAAGCCCCTTGTCTGAAGCTAAAGTCCAGTAAAATTCAATTCTTCTACTAAACTAAGCTAATAATAGTCCACATTAAAAGTTACTGAAAATTATGCTTAGAGTTACAACTCACTTAGTGGGTTAGCACAGTTAGAAACTAACTGTTTTTGTCCACTAGTCCTTATAATGATAACATGGAGCAAAACCCCTAAACTGGCAAATTTCTACTAGTCCTTAGGATGGCTTTACTATTGGGCAGTTTGGTAAGGACTACAGGACAAGTGCCAGTTTCTAACGCTGGGGTTAGTAGACTTGGAAGTGTTTGGCACAGACTGCATTTGTGAAATCATTCAGCTCATATCATGATCATGTGCAGTGAACATGGTGAATAGTGTCATGATTGGGAATATCATCGTATATCACAATATCAATATTGATACAATTTAGGAATATCGAAACTAAATTAATAATTCACTGTCACAGAAATGAATACATATATTAAGATTACCATGGTTAAGATGCCTAATGACAAAGTAGAAAATTCAGCTTCAGACATTTAGTGGATCAGCACCAGTTCACACATTAGATACATAGCATGCGTTAACATAGATTTTTACATACAGTAAACTATGTTTATAACAAACACGCTTATAACGAACTTATTTTTTTTGGTCCTGACCTTTTACTGCAAATATGCTGTATATATGCCCATAACGAACTATGGTTATAATGTACTAAAATTAATGGTCCCTTTGAGTTTGTTATAACCTAAGTGTACTGTATATAGTATAGGTTTACACAGGTTTTTCTTTGCTTGTTGTTTAACACAACACTCAGCGATATTTCAGCTACACAACGGCATTCTATAAATAATCAAATCTGGACCATGCAATCCAGTGATTGACATCATGAGCATTGATCTACGCAACTGGGATACAATGACATGTATCAACAAAGTCAGTGAGCCTGACCACCCGATCCCGTTAGTTGCCTCTTACGACAAGCATGGGTTGCTGAACATGCTGAAGATCAATTCTAATAAAATTTATTATTAATCAAACTATTGGTATATCATGATAATTTTTAGTAAATATATCAATACTAAAATGTCCAATCCATGACACCTCTACTGCTCTAGTCATGATGCCTAGTACAATATGTTACATGGAATCTTGACAAGTTTAGGATGACATTATTTTGACAGAAAGTTACAGGGGGGCCTAAAGGGAGGTAATTCACACTGAATGAAGTTGCAAAGTCATCATGTCACTGACACTTCACGCTTGACTGAGGGACATTATCAGTTGCATTTCACTGAACCATAAAGGTCTCACACTGTCACATCATGAGTGAAGATAAAATATGAACAACATAAACATGTCAAAAAATAACATTTTGTACGTTTTCCCAGTAAGCTAAGAATACTACACACCTATCATGCCGATATAACTAAATTTTCATTGTGTTCATTGAAATTCCTGCATTCTGATTAGCTGAAATGGTCATGTGTTATTGCATTCATTTCCCAATAAATGTAAAAAATTAAGCCACGCTAACCGAGGTGGACCACTCTTATTACTACGGAAAGTCAGGGAATCCTCTTATTAATGGATAATAATCTCAATATTTCAGTTTGTGATTGGCTCTTATGGCAAACCTGAGACACTGGAATCACTAGACCAAGAGCCATGGCCACATTAATCAGCTAATCAGAACATTACTTCAGAAAGTCCGAGCAGGAGTTAGTTAAATAAGTGAAAGAAAATCTAAACTGTGCCCTCTTTAAAGTTTATCATGGCACTTCCTGCTTTTCAATGCTGGACATAGGCTAAAACTTCATGTACTTTGCACATGTGCCGGTATATGAATCGACAACATAACCATCAAATTTGGCGTGTTCGATATTCTAAACATCAATAATTATCATGTGAGAGCATTATCATGATTATTATCTTAATGAACAATGTCACTACTGAAGTTTAACAAATTTGAGGAAATATTGGTACCTCTTACCAGATATATCCACTCATTCTGTAATAGTGTACACCAACGTCAAGACGGTACTATGTTAAAAGATACTGACACACAATCATGTGATTGGGAACAAAAGTGTATTCAGTGGCTCACATGACTTCACATAATAAGAATAATGTCCTGTTGCTTTTTTTTGTTATCGTTGACGGTGATAAACGATTAACTAACCGAAGACATGTTGCCACACATGTTATTCAAACATGTACTCCATGTTGAAAAGAGGCAGTTCAGTGGCCCATTCAGCGTGGGTCAAAATCCAACCAGCAGATAGCCGTGCATTCAATATCTCAATCGGCTGATATGACAAGGAAATTGGACATCCGTTCCGTACGGGGTATCGTTGCGGCTATATTTGGAAAGTTGCCCAGCTGACCCTGGCTGCGCCAATGGCCTGCTTTGTTGTCAAAAAATTAATGCACGTCAACTTTATGAAACTAACAATGATGTTATAACAACAAAATACAATATAAAATACGTACCGTATTAAGAGACATCACTGACATGGTCCTTATCCTCCTATTGTAATGCTATCAGGTGAGTAGGCCAAGTATGCAAATGATCAGCAAATACTGTCACACGGTACTTTCGCCATTTTGTCCATGTTTATTTTTTTACTGACTAGCGATTAAGTAGACCGGTTAAATAGACACGAATAAAATTAATACCACATGACAAAAACTGAACGCAAATTGTGAATCTTTGGGAACCATCCAATTCCTTCTTTTCTGTTATAGCTATTTCCACTGTCAAAGTTGAGTGTAGGCTAGACGCGAGACATAAGTATTGGGAGTTATCTCCCTTGACGGAACGCTTGCTTCTGAAATGATAACTTCCGGAAAGAAACCCATCAAAGGGAAAACACGTAGATTTCCATGATTTGCTTATTTTTCTAGAACAATGAAGTGGTTTGAGGGAGCTATTCCTGAAGCTATCCAAGCAGCAAAAGTTAAAAACAGTATTTTTATTGTCTACATTGCAGGTAATATTTTGTTTGGTGGTAGAACTGGTCAAAATTGTTTTCAAATTGGTAGGCCATCACCAAAATGAAAGTGACAATTATGAGATCTCATTAGGGAAGCGAAAATCAGTGAGAAAAAGGATGTTAGTAGACATCTTTCGTATACAGCACATGGTGGGTAAGACTTCCACCATTAACCCCACCTAAACTATAAATATATATGCAACTAAAAGGATTGAACGGCAATGCATACATTTCCCTCTTTTAGACAATTGAAAGTTTCACAAGATCGAACATATGTGTGTTAGGTTCCTGTATAACTGGAAAAAAACTTCAGTGTGATAGAAACCAAAATTTGACGTGATGTGCACCTCCAAAGGAACAAATGTTGGTTGTAAAAGTTCCACGTGAACCTATATATGCATAATTCTCACTACAAATGATTTTTACTTTTAATACTTTAACAAGGGGTTCTGCAGTATTAGACTGGGGAAGCCACAAAAGCTTAGAATACAGTATATCCTAAGCTTTTGTGGCTTCTTCCCTCACAGTCATGTTCTATCTAAGTATGGATCCCCTCTCCCAGAGTCTCAATGCAAACAAGACATGTGGTGACTTATCAAACCAGTAAAGTTAACACCACAATAGGTAGTGTAAAACAATTCGGCTACCTTATTTGCTATTTATAACCACACCATAATCAGCAGTAGAAAGTAACATTTTTAGTCCACTAATCCTGATAATGATAACATATAGCAAAACCCTTAAAAATGGCAAGTTTCTACTAGTCCTTATGATACCTTAACTATTGGGCAGTTTGGCAAGGACTACAGGACTAGTGCCAATTTCTAACGCTGATAATCAAACACAGCTACCTAATACGACCACTCAAAAGGGCAATGATGTGTATACGTTAATAAGTTCTATGACATTGTGATGTAATGGTGTGATGTAAGGGGGCAGTTAGTTTTTGGTTTCGGTTGAGAGAGGTGTGGCATTTTATCGAGGGCTGAACCGAATTTAGGCAATGGAATAATAAGTCAGAAGAGCCATGATCTAATCTATACACATGACAGATTGAGTTGTGAGATCCCATACCAATAAATAAATTTGAAACATAAACAGAAAATACATCAGTTTATGATATCATTAACATTTCATGTCAGACCTTGATCAGTCAGTGATATTTTTGACAGGTTTGACAGGACTTTGCAGATGTTAATTACAGCCATAGTTTGACACTATTCATCAAATGTTGAACATGTTCAGGATCTGTGATGTTTCTTTCTGTGTATGAAGTGCAAAGATCTCTTCCTGTGTGTTAGTGGCTCTGCACTTTAGGAACCTACTCGAAAATCCAGTCTGGATGAAGTTTGTCTTCCTCAGTTGTGTGGATGTGAATCGAATTGCCAGGGTTGAAGGTGTAATCAAGATTTTGTTGAAGGCGTGTAGAAGTGCCTTTGGATCTCATACACATAAAATGAACTCCATTACCATGTTTACTGGGCCAAGACATTTGTTCTCATTTTAGGGTGTTTGTTCCTCTTTGGTGGAACTTCTACTATCAATACTATAAAACTGTCTAAAATAGGGATTTTTCTATAAAAATTGGAATATCTATTATTAGATGGAAGGAAAAAGAAGAGATATAACACAAACTTATAAGTAACTAATGTTTAATTTGTGAAAGTTCCCAAGGAAATGTTCTTTTCATGACAGAAGATCCATTATAATCAACAAATTTATCTGAATATGAATTTTGGTTGTGTCATTTCTAAATAATTATTTCTTTTTATCTCGTGTGGACATACTTGATTGGTTTAATAATTGATGGGAACATGTATGCCCAGTTTCTGCAGTTTTTTATTTGAAAATGGCAAATCTGTAAAGTAATATTCTGACCATATTTTCTAGTGGCCTTGCTTACATGGTTTGATGCACTTCGCTTAGTAAGACCTGTTTTATTACAACATCTTGATTATCGATCAGATCTTCTTCACTTGGCGCCGCTATTTTGTTTGAAGCAATGCAAGTGATAATGATATCAGAGTTGGAATCTGCTTGGTCAATAGGAGGGACATAACTCATAATAGGCACTGGTGTCGGTACAAGCAGCCCCAGAAATTCAAGCTGAGTTCGGCAAGGGTGGAAACTGGACTTTTTCAGTCAGTTAGCTTGCCTTGCTTCATGAAGATTGACCAAGCCATCACATTAGTTATAACTCTAACAGCAGGAAGTGAGAAATTTGTAGTTTTAATTTGGGACTTTTTACTGACATTTGCTGCGGACTTGGGACCAGTTATCGGCCTCTGAGCAGGTCTAGGTAAATCTCTGCACCTGAAACCTTCAACCTTTTCCAAAATTGTGATGTTGATTGAAGTAAAGTAAGACATATAAACATTTATTATATACTTAAGTTTTCGAAGCGAAGAAAAGAGATAACATTACAATGGATATTTCACTGCAGTGAACATGACACTTGATATTTCACTGCTTTGAAAATAACACTCTGAAGGAACTATTGTCATACAAGAGTGACTTCCCCTCAAATTGTCAACCTTTATTGTAAGTGTCAACACAAACTGTTGGCTTCCTTTTTACATAAGTTCCACATTGACAAGGCAAAAAAATGACAGGTGACCATTTATGGCGTTAATATCGCTTCAGGCTGTTTGTTATTGTCTTGAAAATGTTTCGTTATACACCATCAATTTCTCACTTAACTCGTCAATCAAGACTGTTCATTTTGCAAAGCACCCTTTTTGTTTCTTGACCAGCGTACATTCTTTTGCTTCCAACAGCGGTTGGTAGTTTTCAAGTATATTTTTTGTTAAAGTTGATTTTGTATATAATCATATCTATATGTATGATACAGAATTTTCATCCCCCTAAATAATTTTTGTTACTTTCGTTAATATTTTTTTAAGAATTTTCAAACACGAAACTACTTTTTTAGTCCCAAATACAAGGGGTGGTGAACCGTCCCTGTGTGTTAGGTAGGGAGAATTTACGTTTCAAGGTTTTACATTTGTAATGAAATAATAAAATTTCCCGTAAACAACGACACAAAAAGTATATAATAAATAGGATATTCCATGTGTCTCGTGAAATATCATGTTTCACTCATCTCATGACGGGTGAAATGTCCTCTATTTCTTCTTTAATAATAACACTTATCCAAATATTATTCTGAAGAGATTTTTATATTTCCATTTTTCTCTCAATAATCTTTGACTCACCACTGGACTTCATGAAGTAAGGGGGGTCACGGGTGGCCCAGTCGTCTAAGGCGCCGCTATTCGCTGTGTAGAGTTGCGTCCCTTGGGCAAGCCAGAAACCTATGATTGTGGGTTCGAATCCCGGTTCTCCCCAATTATTTCTAGATTTGTCAGCACCATACCCGTGCTCGTGGGTTTCACCAAAATGGTAAACGTCTGAGACCTGCATCACTTCGGGCTTTCCTCACATATTAAGCTGACACGCCGTGATATAACTGGAATACTGTTAAAAGCGGCGTTAAACCCAACTCACTCATGAAGTAAGGATATTTTGTTTTCAGTGACAGTTTGTAAACCATCTGATGTGCAGGTAATTGAGACATTGAGTGAACTGAGAAGTGCATATGTATTCTATCGAGGAGTTTATGATTTCTTTTGTTGAAGCATGAAGCTGTGGTATGTTATGTCAACATGGTGAAGGTGTTGAAAACTTGTTGCAGGTGAAGATGACTTGTCCAAACAGATGAATGCAACATGGGAAGATGCACAAGTTAGCGAATTGTGTGAAGAAGAAGGTTGTGTTGCTGTCAAGATCAAAGCCAACAGGTTTGGTCATGTTGATCATTTTAAATGTTTATACACCCTATTACTCCATTGTAAAATCACAAGATTTCACAAAAATACTTTTGTTATCCTGTGTAAAGTAATTAAAATCCTTTCTCATTTTAAGAAGAAAAGAAGACATTATTTTTACATGGAGATGTTTTATGTTTTCTGCATTTTCTATTTATTATGTATTTGTCAATTTTGACTACTGATTTATTTAAACATATTTTTTCAATGAATCTGGATTGGTAGTCAGACATTAGTTTATACCTTTTGGAATGAAGCATGTATTAATGAACTGATTTCAATATTACTAGTTTTTGTAAAATTACTATTACCATTCAAAATTGTTAACATTAACTACCTCAGAGTAGGCGAATGAATTGTTTTCTTATACAGTATCATTATAAATCAGACAGGAGTAGAAATAGTGTGTGATATAGTTTCATGCATATAACTGTTAATTTATTTCTGCTTTTCAGTGATGAGTGTGGCTTTTTCTCCCAGATATGTATCCTTCTTTTTCAAAATGTTAAAGATTTTTTTGCTGACATTTTGTTGATCATCAGATCATGGCTTAGCCATGTTAACCATGTTAAAACGTATCTGTGCAATGAGTCATTAGTCTAAAGGTAATGAAAATAAATGAAAACTCTCTCCTTGTCTTGCATGATCAAATATGGGCAAGTAGTGTCACACAAGGCTAACATGCTGGGGCCTATGTTACCTGTCTTGATAACAGGTCTACATTTTATGTAGGTAGACAAGGACAGTCAAACAGATCGATGACTGTTGGACCTGAAGGAGACGCTGTTTAAGTGTTTGCTCAATGTTCCCAAGTCCCATGTTTGATTCTTGCACACTTTCTCATCAAGACTAGACTAGACAACATCAGCAAATGTTGGATTTTGAAAGTGCAAAACATTCACATTTTACAAATAAAATCTGTGTCACTAAGGAACAGTCCCTGCATAAGCCAGTGTATTCAGAGCCACAGAGTTACTTCCCTTGACCAACACAGACCCTGTTGTAGTTGTTCCATCAACATTTTTCATTGGTGCTAATGGTGTTCCGCTGGAGGTCACGGGGGGTTACCTGGGAGGAACAGAGTTCTTGGACAAGGTCAAGTCAGTCGTACAGGTATGCACACAACAGTATCATTTTTCATTTCATGTTGTGAACCACTCTCTTTGGGTCAATGACCCAAAGTATAATACCAAAACATCGGAGTTGAGTCATCGACCCAAAGTATAATACCAAAACATTGGGACCCGTGAAGATCCGGGGTAGAATAGGTCTTCAGCAACCCATGCTTGCCGTCAAAGGCGACTATGCTTATCGCAAGAGGCAACTAACAGGATCGGGTGGTCAGGCTTGCTGCCTTGGTTGATGCATGTCATCGATCCCAATTACATGGGTCGATGCTCATGATGTCAATCACTGGATTGTCTGGTCCAGACTCTTTATTTACAGACCGCCGTCATATAGCTGGAATATTGCTGAGTGCGGCGTTAGACAACAAACAAACAAACAAACCAAAACATTGGGATCCAGGAACGTATTTAAGTGCATGAAATTATTGTTTCAAATTTATGATTGCATGAGTCTTCTCTCTTTGTGACTTTTCACTGCTTAATAAGAGCACAGTTAGAACTGGGAACTAGATGCCATTAATGGTATATCTTGTATGACTCAATTATCCTCCGTTTGCGGTATTAGATTGTTCCTGGTGAAGAACTGCTATGAGTAGATAAAATTTCAAATTGAAATTTGATATGTAAATGCCAAGAAAGCACCTCCAAAGAGTTTTCAATTGTGAATCAGACACATCTTGTCAAGTGTCCACCAACTCAGACAACACCAACTCAAGTCCCTAAATCAGAACCCAGCCGGTCAGAGCCTGCAGCAGCAGCAGCTTCAGCAGCACAGGTGACAGAGCCTGCAGCAGCGTCGACCTCTGTGTCCAGGGAGGGGGATGACGTTGCTGAGACTCAGGCCAAGATTCCAAAGCTCGACCATGACAGTAAAGTGGATAAGTAAGAACAAGAATCTTTATCAAAAATAACCTTCAGCTGACATGTGTGATTTAATTATCCTTAGGACTTTGCGAGTCAGTGTAAGCAGGTGACATTTCGTTTAATGTTAAACCCAGGATGGTTGAGAAATTCCTTTCCTTCATCCCCAAAATGCCATGTGTGGCATGGAGGAGACATGATAACTGATGCAGGCAGACTTGAGAATCAGCCTTACACCATGTACACGACAACAATCATAACCATGATGTGCTTTGTGAAACAAGCAACATACATTAGAGACCATGGAGACAGACTGACTAATTCGTCCAAATTTAAGTTAGGTAACAAATGAAATACTGTTCACAGGGTGTCTACCATAATCACTGTTTCAATGAAGACCCCCAATAATACTGCAGTATTGCCATCCATTGATTTGTGGTCTCTTGCAGAGCCAAGCAGGTAATTGAGCAGAAAAGGTTGGAGAAGAGAAAGCAAGAGGAAGAGGTAAGCACAGTTTCGTTTATGAACAGATGTTGCCCCCCACTGTGTAACTCTAAACTAGGCATATTGTGATCCCGCCTATGCCACAAGAGGGTCTGGTATTTTTGTAACACTAAGCTAGGCATATTGTGATCCCACCTATGCTACAAGAGGGTCTGGTATTTTTGTAACACTAAGCTAGGCATATTGTGATCCCACCTATGCTACAAGAGGGTCTGGTATTTTTGTAACACTAAGCTAGGCATATTGTGATCCCGCCTATGCTACAAGAGGGCCTGGTGTGACACTAGGCTAGGAACATTGCCATCCCACCTGTGCTACAAGAGGGTCTGGTATTGGTGTAACACTAGGTTAGACACATTGCCATCCTACCTATGCTACAAGAGGGTCTGGTATTATTGTAACACTAGGCTAGGCACATTGCCATCCCACCTGTGCTACAAGAGGGTCTGGTATTGGTGTAACACTAGGCTAGGCATATTGCCATCCCACCTGGGCTACAAGAGGGTCTGGTGTAACACTAGGCTAGGCACATTGCCATCCCACCTGCGCTACAAGAGGGTCTGGTATTAGTGTAACACTAGGTTAGACACATTGCCATCCCACCTATGCTACAAGAGGGTCTGGTATTATTGTAACACTAGGCTAAGCACATTGCCATCCCACCTGTGCTACAAGAGGGTCTGGTATTGGTGTAACACTAGGCTAGGCACATTGCCATCCCACCTGTGCTACAAGAGGGTCTGGTATTGGTGTAACACTAAGCTAGGCACATTGCCATCCCACCTGTGCTACAAGAGGGTCTGGTATTGGTGTAACACTAGGCTAGGCACATTGCCATCCCACCTGTGCTACAAGAGGGTCTGGTATTGGTGTAACACTAGGCTAGGCACATTGCCATCCCACCTGGGCTACAAGAAGGTCTGGTATTGGTGTAACACTAAGCTAGGCACATTGCCATCCCACCTGTGCTACAAGAGGGCCTGGTGTAACACTAGGCTAGGCACATTGCCATCCCACCTGTGCTACAAGAGGGTCTGGTATTTTTGTAACACTAGACTAGGCACATTGCCATCCCACCTGTGCTACAAGAGGGCCTGGTGTAACACTAGGCTAGGCACATTGCCATCCTACCTGTGCTACAAGAGGGTCTGGTATTGGTGTAACACTAGGCTAGGCACATTGCCATCCCACCTGGGCTACAAGAAGGTCTGGTATTGGTGTAACACTAAGCTAGGCACATTGCCATCCCACCTGTGCTACAAGAGGGCCTGGTGTAACACTAGACTAGGCACATTGCCATCCCACCTGTGCTACAAGAGGGTCTGGTATTTTTGTAACACTAGACTAGGCACATTGCCATCCCACCTGTGCTACAAGAGGGCCTGGTGTAACACTAGGCTAGGCACATTGCCATCCTACCTGTGCTACAAGAGGGTCTGGTATTGGTGTAACACTAGGCTAGGCACATTGCCATCCCACCTGTGCTACAAGAGGGTCTGGTATTAGTGTAACACTAGGCTAGGCACATTGCCATCCCACCTGTGCTACAAGAGGGTCTGGTGTTTCAGGAGGTCAAGAGGAAGGAGATGGAGCGGATCAAGTTGGGGCAGGAGGTGCAGAAGTTGAAACAGTTCCAGCAGGACCGGGAGCTGAAGGAAACAGCCCAACAACTGAAGAAGGACAGGGAGGACGACAAGAAGGCTCGGGAGCGGATTAAGGAGCAGATCGCCAGAGACAGGTAGAATAAGTGATTAGTGAATGAGAGTTCAGAGTAGGTGCAATCAGCAATATTCTTGTGTGTCATGGTGGATTTTAAATATTTGAATCTGGCTGAGGCTGGTCATAGTTAATGAAGCCATGAAATGTTTCTTGTCGTCTGACACATCATCCCATTGTTAACAACTGATCCTCATTGTGATCTTATGACAAGCATGCTTTTCTTATCTGTTATCCTGTCCCGGGTTAGAATTCGTCTTTGGCAACACATGCTTGTTGTAACAGGATAGTGATAGGGATAATGGGACAGGCGGGTCAGGCTCGCTGACTTGGTTGATGCGTGTCATTGTATCACAATTGTGTAGATCGATTGTCTGGTGGCTTTAAACAACCAACCAACAAAACAAACAAAATCTGTTCCCCCTCGTAATACCCAAGAGGGGCAAGTGAGAGGAAGAGTAGCTACTATGTAACAGATGCAGGCCATGGTTGTTTGTAATACACTAAGGATCAGCAATGAGTTGTGAGAAAAAAATCAGTTTAATATTTTGGCCAATTTTGATATTTGAAGATACTGAGAATTTGTAAAATGAGTGTTGATAATTGTTTAGAAAGTTTATCTCTAGGGAGTAATCAGTGCAATTATCCTCTGATTTGAATTAATGGAGATTTCTTTTCCTTGCACCAAGTAAACATGTTAACAGTACAGCCAATTATCCTTTTTATTACCTACGAGGGATTCGGAATTCATAAAAATCATATGTTCCCGAGGGTCATATTACATCACAAGACAACAGTGTATTTTTCTGTCATCCGGACAGCATTGTTGAAGTCATTTGAATCTTATTGTAATGTGAGGTCTAAATGATGTCACACTAGAAACGACGTCATAGATGGAGATTGTTGACATCATTCCACAAATTGTGGTTCAGCTGCTGTTGCGACTTGCAGCACGAAAATTCGTCTCTGTATGTAGACATCATCTTCGGTAATGAATAGAACATTATATTTATGTTCATGTCATACCACGTTTCCGACGCTTGTGCCAAAGTTCCGAACTTTAGACCCTCATGTCATAAACATGGTATGACATGAACACCTATACATGTATAATTATAATATCTTCTATATACAAGAACACTTGTAAGTATTTCAAGGATTCTCTTGTGATTGTGTACCTGTGCCATGATTCAGGGCGGAGAGAGCAGCACGCTTCAACAAGGAGAAAGCAGATAGGGAGAAGACCCAAGAGGAGGCAAAACGAGCCAAGCTCATGGCCCAGCAACAAGCTGCAGCAAAGGCGGAGGCTGAGAGGAGGTAACGCTTCCCTCGTCGTATGACTGTCTTCAGAAAGAACACTATGGTTCTCATGTGCTTAATGTGTCTCCTGAAATTCAAATCTATGAAATAATCTGTATGACTGTGTTTCTGTCTTGAGAATGCCATTTTGTGTGAACTGACCAAGTAAACATACTGAGTTTTTGTTGTGCATAACTTGCCTTCCAATCAATGCATAAATAGATGTTAATTTGTATGATGTGCTCAATATGTTTAATCTTCTGAGCTGACGCTGATCTTATTTCCAGTGAGACCGCAAGAATACAGTTCCGGTTACCTGACGGTTCGTCTGTCACCCAGCAGTTCCCGTCTCGAAACACCCTGCAAGAAGCCTACAACTTTGTGTCACAAGTATGTTATCTGAACCTTTATGTGTGGAATATCATGGAGTATCCATTGTTGATTCCCAGCCTTTTTTTAGTTTTGTTTAGCTGTTAACGAAACAATTTGTTTACTTTTTCAGCATGTTGGAGGTGAAGTTACCCTTTCAACTACGTTTCCTAGACGGACATTCTCCGATGCAGACATGTCGCTGACATTTGCCGATCTGCAGCTGGCTCCTTCGTCCGTCGTTATGGTTATTCCAGTAAGTAGTGTAACATCTTTTCATAAAGTGACTGGGCTGCTTGCATGTCATGTGACTGGGTTGCTTGCGTGTCATGTGACTTGGCTGCTTGTGTGTCATGTGACTTGAATTCTTGCGTGTCATGTGACTGGGCTGCTTGTGTGTCTTGTGACTGGGCTTCTTGCGTGTCATGTGACTGGACTGCTTATGTGTAATATGACTGGGCTGCTTGTGTGTCATGTGACTGGGCTGCTTGTGTGTCATGTGACTGGGCTGCTTGTGTGTCTTGTGACTGGGCTTCTTGTGTGTCATGTGACTGGGCTGCTTGTGTGTCATGTGACTGGGCTGCTTGTGTGTCATGTGACTGGGCTGCTTGTGTGTCATGTGACTGGGCTGCTTGTGTGTCATGTGACTGGGCTGCTTGCGTGTCATGTGACTGGGCTTCTTGCGTGTCATATGACTGGGCTTCTTGCATGTCATGTGACTGGGCTGCTTGTGTGTCATGTGACTTGGATTCTTGCATGTCATGTCACTGGACTGCTAATGTGTCGTGTGACTGGGCTGCTTGTGTGTCATGTGACTAGACTGCTTGCATGTAATGTGACTAGGCTGAAACCCTGATGATGTGGAATTGTTACTCATGTTTCTATAACTAGTTTGCCTAGTCCAGATGTGAAGGATGCTATGGTGTAGTTGGAACCCAACTCACTCACTCACTCACTCACTCACTCACTCACTCACTCACTCACTCACTCACTCACTCACTCACTCACTCACTCACTGATGTTTCCAGGGCACCAAGTCTGTGGCGCGGCCAAGCGGAGGAGGGGGAGGCGCTGTCTCAAGCGGTGGCATACTACAGATGATCCTCGCCCCTTTCCTATTCCTGTTGAACATCTTGCGGTCCTTCTTCTCATCATCATCCCCCTCCACACCCCCTCCGAGCACCTCCACCCAGAGAGACAGAGCTGCAGGGGGTGACAGAAGAACAGGGTGGGTATTGCAACAGCCAAATGTTCCTTCAGAGGGAGCATGTTTCGTTAACGTTACACTTAAGTCTAACGAGTCTAAGGCCACAAACACCTGCACATGTGAAGATCCGGGTTAGAACAGGTCTTCAGGAACCCATGCTTGCTGTTAAAGGTGACTATGCTTGTCGTAAGAGGCGACTAACGGGATAGTGAGGTAAGGCTCGCTGACTTGGTTGGTGCATGTCATGGTATCCCAATTGCGTAGATCGATGCTTATGATGTCAATTGTGATTTTTCACCAATAAGGTCCATTATCTCAGGGTAACTCACATCTTTTGGATGTTGATGTTTGAAGTCAGCATGTTACATGGCTGATGTTTTATTGCAGAGCGTATCCAAGGCGGGGAGCAGGTGGCGGAACAGCCAGTGGAGGCGTGAGTCGTAACGAGGGTAAAGTTCACCGCTTCAGGAACGCCGATGATGATGACGACGACAGAGCAACCTATAACGGGAACTCTACACAGCAGATGTAGACTGTGATACTACTCCCCTGTGTGCTGGACCCTGTTTATCGCTGCACAACAAGCTGTGTGATTGTGAATTGACATATTGCTGCCCTTGATGCTGTTCACCCGAAAACTGTCGCACACCTACAGGACACATCTCTCATCATGTGTATAGAATGTGATTCTAGGTGCATAGGAAGGCTGGAGAAATATATGTGGATTTTTAAAGATTTCTATTTCTGTTCTCTGTAAATGCTCGTACAGAGGAATTTGTAAACATTCAATTATATACATTTCTGGGTGTGAAATAAGTTCCATCAATAAATGAAGGCAATCTCATTGAAATCAGATCAGGAGGAATTTGTAAACATTCAATTATATACATTTCTGGGTGTGAAATAAGTTTCATCAATAAGTGAAGGAAATCTCATTGAAATCAGATCAGGAGGAATTTGTAAACATTCAATTATATGTATACATTTCTGGGTGTGAAATAAGTTTCATCAATAAATGAAGGCAATCTCATTGAAATCAGATCAGGAGGAATTTGTAAACATTCAATTATATACATTTCTGGGTGTGAAATAAGTTTAATCAATAAGTGAAGGAAATCTCATTGAAATCAGATCAGGAGGAATTTGTAAACATTCAGTTATATACATTTCTGGGTGTGAAATAAGTTTCATCAATAAGTGAAGGAAATCTCATTGAAATCAGATCTAATCTGATTTCAATGAGATTGTAAATGAAGGGTGTGTCTCTTTGCTTGTGGTACCTGATTTCCTGATCAAAAGCTTGTTGCGGAGGTGCTTCCCTTTTCTGTTACCGTGATTACTGGCGGGAGGAGAGTCAATGTCTCAAAGGAGACAGGGTTATTGGTGAAACACCAATGTAAGGTTCTTACTGAGTCAAGTGTCTGCAGCTTTGGTGAGGTAGTGGGATTCTCATTTAGTCAGCAGCTCTGTTAATTTACTCTAGTGGTTTCTTGGAATATCAGGATTGGTGAAACATCATCGTTTACCATATTAAATATGTACACAATGAATGTAGGGATTTATAGCCTCATTCAGAGTCGGTAACAAGAGACTTTCAAAGTCCCCTGAACTACCCCCGGCAGTTGGGTATTAAAACTGATATGAGCTGATAGACAGAACTCAGTGGAACCTGAATTCAGTTGAAAATGTTCTTGTATTACTGTGAATTTTGAGCATAGTTGGGAATAGTTTAATAATGCTTCTTCTCGCTTACAATGCTGATGATGTAACTTTTTCAAGCACAGGCTTACTCTCCCTAACATTTGCACTACTATGTGGCTTGCATCCTTGTTATTCTATTAGGAAATAGATATAAGAATCTTTATCTAATGTAGTTTGTTTTAAAATCCTTTACACTATTATGAAATTTAAAAAGTAGTTGTGCCACATATTTTTGCCCTAGATCATTGCTATTTATGGAAAAAGTCAGTGGCATTTTAAAGGTGACTGTTGTTTCATCCTAACCTTCTCCTTGTTGCCTCTTGCATTTCTACTATTGTTGACTGTCAGAGGCGACAGTGTCACATTGATACTATTGTCTTGATCTTCTGTGACATACACTGAACAAGAGATTCTCCTTGTTGATATTTGTGATGTTAAGGATTGTAAATAATACTTCATTGTTACTGGTCGTACGAATATTTCCTTGCTTGGTTTTGTTGCATTGATTATGCCATTTGACATGTAAAATGATTTTGAACTGTCATTTTAAATTATTACCTGAACTTTGATGTAAAAATTGTAAAATAAAATGTTGAATATTTTGAATATTTTAACTCTTTGTGAACTTGAGATCATTGGTTGAGAAATGGGGTGAAAAGCTGAATGTTCTCCAGCATCAGTTATCCTCACGAAACCTTCTTGAGCCCATTTGTCTTTCTGATGAAATTGGACATCATAAGAGAATCCATGTATTCATGTTTGTGTTATGGCACTGTTCAAGAACCAAATTCAGCTTCATTTTGCCTGTGTCTTCACTTGACCACCTTTGTGGTCGGGTGGATAGAGTGTCTTCCCCAAGAGTGGAAGGTTGGTGGTTCGATCCCTGGTCGCATCATACGAAAAGATGTTAAAAGGTGGTACTTGTTGTTACCCTGCCTTGAGCTCTGTACTAGGGGTTATGAAACAAGGACTGTCGGCTTGGAGGCAGTATACTTTGTCTGAATGGGATATCGATGTTATACTGCGACGTGGTATCTCAGTTGGCTAGCGCTATAAAACTGGCATAAGTGCGGACTAGTACAAGCAGCCACATACGTGCATGCTGGTTATTATATAATAATCGTGAATGTCACATTAAACCCCATTTCACCTCACCTGTCTTTTCTTAAAAACACTCTACACTTTAGCCATTTATTAAGGTCAATGTCTCGTTTAAGAGACCAAAGTCGACTTGGTTTCCTCAGGTTACAATAATGAGGCAGCACTTTGTCCTTGACCTCTAGGTTGCCATATGCTGGTCCTGATCCCTTCCACTTGGCATAACACCCGTGATGATCTGGGTAGAGAATAGGCAATCAGCGACCCATGCTTGTCGTAAGAGGCAACCCTATCCACCTCAGGCTTTCCTCACACATTAAGCTGACATGCAGTGATACAACTGGAATACTGTTAAAAGTGGCATTTAACCCAACTATCTCATTTTCTCTCCGTTGCCCTTTGAGCATTTGATGGTTTGTATCAATAGTATTCTCATTTCAACACTGTCTTATTGGTCTTTGACATTGTTGACAATACAACTTTACTGAGCTTATTACGTGGCTGCAAGGATGCTGTTAACATCACTCCTATTGACCTTTTTCACACTTTCGCCATCTTGGATCGAAAACGAGACTTGGAGAGCATAGCTCCATGCAGTGAGAGTCGCATCAGCTCATAGGGAACAGACAGCATGTTGTGCATTTCACTGATGGACATTTTAAACAAACAAAAAATGGTATCCTCTGTATCTAATACAGAAGATAATTCACATTAAATCATGAGGTCCAACTAAAATATGCCCGTAATACACTGGAATTAGCATTTTGCTGTCAGGATCCCGGAAGTGAATCGAAAGGTGCATTTCGAGATACGTATTTCAGAATTAGATTGTTTTATCATAACCTCGTCGGCATATAGGTACAATGTGACAGTACATTCAATGACAGAAGTTTTGTATCGTAAATAAACCGCATAACATGAAACACGTCAGTGTACCTTTGCAAAATTGCTCAGTCAATGCGTGGCTTGGCGAACTCTAGATCAAGATTGAGATCATGTTTATTTCATGTTTCATAGTGGTGTTTGCTGCCATGAGTCCAGTTGACAAAAGACACTTTTTCTGCTAAGATTTTCATTTTAACATATTACAATGTTAATTATGAAAATAATTCGTGTGTCAAAATAAATTTTCAGAAGGGGCGATAACTCTATTCAGTGTGTACAATGACAGATGATACTTTCAAACATCACTTACTTAACTGATTATTGCCGATTGAGATTGCACCGTGCACGACAAAAGTAATAATGTGTGAACTGTTTAAAATAAGTTAAAAGGAAACTAAAAATTGATAAATATAAATAATGTATGAAATTGAAGAAATATAAGAATTGATACAACTACCAACTTCTTGAACACCCTCACCTAATCCTGTATGATGATAGGTAATTGTATATCAAAAGGAAGCTACTAATACATTTATCCTGAATAGTTTGAAAATGTCTTGATCAGATATGAGTACAGATAAAATAACAAAAGATAAAAAGGAATCAACTTAAGTTGGTAATCAAGCCAAGATAAAATATATGTATCGGTACAAATTATGTTGATGGAACAATCTGGATTTCTCATATTTAACAAAGAAAAACAAACCAAAATTTTCATATCTTTATTTCTCACAATATAAGTTTTCAAAACTTAACATGGACTGGGTGTCTTTGTCAGTCAAAAGCACCTAATTAAATTCCAGGAGAAAACAAATGGTACAATGTGCTTTTTCAGTGTCCGATAAATATTGGCCATGTTGATTTGTGAGTGAATAAGGCTTTTCACTTCCTCGTCCTATTTAATAGAAATGTGACAGGAAGCACATCTGTTGATTAAATGATTATGGCTTTTCACTTCCTCGTCCTTTGACAGGACTCACATTGTAACCAGTGTGTTACTGTCAGCAGAAAGCTCCACCAGACATCCGTCACCGGATACTAGTACTTCATTGTGTTGACTCGCTGGCCTGAAATGAATAATTCAATAATATTGTAATAATATTCCTACTTCAATAACATTTTATATAAACAATGCATATTCACCTTCTCTCAAAATATTGCTTATTTAGAAAACAACATTCTTCTGAAATAGAGAAGATTAAGGAAAATTAATCACAGTGTGTAACATTACATGCTACTTAAGAACAATCTTGAAAGAATCAATTCATCTGATATGTCGAAAACACAAACAGTATATTCTTTGTAAACAGTGAACTCAACAGATGCATCAATTTAATGACAGTGTACTACAGCTCTTTATATCAATGTCACACAGAAATTCACTATTGTTTTAATGAAACACGTTTTGATATTTGTATTACCGGTATGTATTTAATCATGAAATACTTTGTTTAGTCTGACCATGTTGAAAACATACTTTCGCTGAAGTAAAAATCAGGTGAAATATCACGTTTTGTCACACCTACAGTCAGTCTGCCTCATTGACACTATGGTTTTCTGAGTAAGGTCATGAAGATCACAAAGAAAATATAAGACTTGAATTTATTTTGTCAAATGCAATGTTTATCCCTTCATGTGGTTTACTAAAGTTGATATCTTGACTTGAAAATATTAACTTTGTCAGATCACAAGATGAAATACTATTAAACATATTTTATTGTACAAATAGACAAAGGGCAGCACTTATTACCGCCTTCTCCCTATATACAGTTATACATAATATTGCATAATGAAAATGAACAATTTACAGTTAAAGCTTCACATTGTGGAAACATAGTGCGCAATATAAATTTATATACAGTGCTCATATGAAGGATATGTACAATGTGCTGGAAAGTGCATCTCATACATATGCTAATATTATACATTTCAGTATTGTATATAGATTTAACAATATTAACTAGAAAGTGTTTTTACTCGTAAAAACATATGTCTCCCCCCACTCCCCTAACCCCCATTCATTCGTTTACTTCACGTTAAACCCCATCTGTTCATTCCCACAAAAATAATTCACAATATTTTAATTCTAGAATTGCTTTGAATTCAATAATATTGAAAAGATCAAATTCTTAAATTTCATTATAAGCAAAAGACACAGAAATATTGAAGGGGTGTTGAGTTTAGTTCTGGAACAAAGCCCATCCCAATACAGAGTCTAAGTTAAACTTGTCTCCATAAACAAGAAAAAATAAAATGTGAAAAACTTCTAAATAGCAAGAAGCACCACTTCAGGACTTGGTTAATATGTTACAACTTCATGAAATAATATTGAACAGTTTTTGAGTTATGGTCCGGAAACAAACCTTACCCCCATTCAGAGTCTATGTTCAAGATATCTCCATGGAAACGAGAAAAAATAAAAATGTCAAAAATCTCTTAATAGCAAAAGGCACCACTTCAGTGCTGGGTTAATGTGTATACAAAGTTTCGCGAAAAAATATTAAACGGTTTCCGAGTTATGGTCCGGAAACCAAGCTTACCCCCATTCAGAGTCTATGTTCAACTTATCTCCATGGAAACGAGAAAAAATAAAAATGTCAAAAATCTCTAAATAGCAAAAGGCACCACTTCAGTGCTGGGTTAATGTGTATACAAAGTTTCGCGAAAAAATATCAAACGGTTTCTGAGTTATGGTCCGGAAACGGTGGGAACGCCGACGCCGACGGGAACCGTGCCAAAAACAATATGTCTCCCTCCATTCTGGGGGAGACATAATGAATAACAGTTTGGAAACAATAATATGCTAGCTACTGAATCTGTTAGTTGTTTCTATAAATTTGTGTACAGACAAAAATATTTTTGTATTCAGGAAAACATCTAAGTTTGGATCACCAAAAAGAATACTATGTAGAGTTTTTTGTCCTCCAAGATTATCGATAGCTGTCAGTAATGTCTCCCTAAAATCCTCATATAAGGTACATTCGAAGAAGAAATGGAATGAATTTTCACAAGGAGCATGCTATACAAGGAGCATGAGATAAATTCATGCTATCATCGTTATTTGACAAGGAAAACAAATTTCTTCTATGTATTTATATTTTTTTATTTTCTCGTTTTGATTGAATTATAAAAAAAATATCAAAATGATCACACCACTTGACTTGATTGAAATAAACTAAAGTTCTAAAGATTGTTAACAATAGTAAAATATTACACCATAACAATATAATTATTGCAAAATGACACAGTAAGCACAACTATATTCTTATATATAAATTGATATGATTAATAATCAATAATACATGGCAATTACTTGCACAAAAGAAATCTTTTTGTTTTAAAAGTTTCAAAACATGTTTGTGGACATAAAACCAGATGGTTTCACAATTAAACAAAGGGAATAAATGAGTTATGATTGCAATACGCATGGGAATTAAAAATAATTCTTTTGATACTTAAATTTTTTAGTAATGTCAATATCAATTTATGCATTTGAAATATTTGAATACAAACTGTTAAAAAGTTATCTGTTTCTGTAAATTATATAAAGATCACATGTAGATTGAACATTTACTGGACATTAATTAGTTGGGTTTTTGTTCATTTCATGACATGATTAAATTGGTACAGTAAAGTAAATATCATTTTGGTAGAAATATCAATTGTTACCAAAATTGCAGATCAAACTGTACTCTACTTTAAATATTTACACACCCTTTATGTAATAATTCAGTTGAAATATTACACCTCATGCTATCTAATCTGTCAACATTGACAATCAAAATATCAACTGTTCACAATCACAACAGCACAAGTAGATCGAGAGGTCTAATATTTTATTGGAATGCATTTGTGTCCATTACAATTTACATCAAATACGCAACAGATGCAAACTTCTGATTTGTTACGATTGTAAATTCTCAGTAGGTTACAATTTGATACAGTGTTCCCGTTTACCGGTAATTACCAGTTTTTTACCGGTAAAATTAGGCTTGGACCGGTAATTCATCTGACCGCCAGTCCCTGTGGACTGGCAAATATAGTACTTATAGATCTTTGTTGTTGAACAAAAAAAATCGGTGATATTCATATATTCAGATATAAGTTCATTTTTCGAACAATGTCTGCTTGTCTGTTACCATCAGGGTTTCCCCTTGTCATTTCTAGGTTAAATATCCAGTTGTAGTGACTTTGTTTGAAAATATTAAAAAATAAAGAGAATAATTGTGACTGTGTGAATGATGAGTAGAGCTAAATAAGTTACTTCAAAGATGACATCTTTGCACTGAACATGAAGTTGAAAGAATTAAAACCAAATAATTTTCATATTTTTTTTAATTGTTGAAAGTTGGGACTTGCAAAAATTAGAGGGGACTGGTAATTTTTAGAGTTGCCAGTCCACAAGGACTGTCAGTTTCAAAAGCCAGTGGGAACACTGTGATACATTATATCAACATATAAATTTAGTTAGTTTCTGACATATATCTAGATATGGTCAAAAGGTCAATATTTCGACTTCAAATACAACCCGCAAAGTTATTTAAACTCACAATAAATAGCTTGGCTTAATGGTGTGTAAACAATGAATTATTCTTTACAAGATTTCAGTAGCATTTGTATTAAGTCTCTTGAGCTACCATAAACTGCACTGGGAGTTACCAGGTGGTCATGGATATTTTAAATTGAAATCACAACAGAACGGCCAGACTCAAATTTATATCGATAAGGAGACCAGATAACAGAAGAATAGTTTGTCAATAAGAATAATATTCAATACTTACGATAAATGTACCGGGGTGGTTAAATTGTCGCAGTTTGTCCCCATTGCGTGCCTTGTTGACATCTCCACGTGTTTCATGTGCTATCCAGCCTTCACCTTCTGCTCTTCAAGCCTCGCTTTTAAACCGGAAGTAGCGACGTGTGAAAAAGGTAAATATGTACACTGTAATCGAATATATAGAAAATTTGGAACAGAATTTACACCTGCAAATACTGATATATTTCCCTCAAACCATGAAGTGAGATAATGATCTTACTGTATGTACCGTACAAAACCAGCAACACATGTATCTGTATCCCCATCTAACATGTATGCCATCTGAAGTTTATTGAGAAAACAGTATGTGACATGCTGGATTTCCTCTGTGAAAGTAGGAATCCCCATGGCACCAGATGTGCTCACCTCGTTGTTGACCCTTTTCCATACTCCTTTGCAAATTTTCCACATCTTTGATTACAGTGTATATATAGTTCCGTTTTGGAAGTGAAGTAAGAGTGAGGTGAAGAGGAACTATGCATGGATTGGCGTAATCAAAGCAAGGGAATTTCGCCAAGGAGTTTAACGGTCAAATAGCGGAGTCCCTTCCACTGAATTACCCAACTCAACTTGAAATCAAATAAACCAGTGAAACAATCTCATGTTTCATATTTAGAGATATGCATTAAGATTCACAGTGGCAAAATACTCTCTTCATGACTGTATGACAACAGTGATGGATTGTAAACAAGATTTGGTTCCTTGTGTATATAAGTGTCTGCGGATTTGTAATACCAACATTTGTTCCTTTTGAGTGCATATCAGGTCAAGTTTTGGAAACTGTCCAGCGAAACGACAGCAGTCTGTATATAATAGTCTGGTCCAGACAATCCCCTGACCCCATTGGTGGCCTCTTATGAGCATTGGTTGCTGAAAACCAATACTATTATGCATATCTAGTCTGTTGCGATAATCAGCTGCAACAGTGCTATTGAGGCATAAAACTTCATTCAATCAATCGCTATAATATAAAGATACCTTCCCTGTTTCTGGAAAGAAGACAAAAATCACAAGTGCCAAACAACCATGCCTTTATTGTCATAATTCATAAATCTGGGAAAAAACAGGCATGAATTTCTAATTGCAACATGATGAACACCCTTGTAAGCTACCAACTTGGGCTACATATTCTGTGGGAAGTTTCACACCTCTATTCAAGCTATGATAATCTCACTCTGAACTCGACACAAAACCCATGGACTGCACTGTGCTGGCTCTGAAACGTCTCAGATTTAAGCATGTGGAATATAAAGATTAGACTTATTATTTGATATATAACTGTCTTACTTGTGATCTGCACACCAAGAAAGAAAACAACAGACGCTATCAAGGAATTTCCAGTGAATGTAAAAGATATTGAAAAAAGAATCATGCTGACATTTATTTTGTCAAACTGACAATTAATGCATGTTCGTAAATTATTGTTAGATCTTTGTATCTGTATGTATTAAAGGTTAGGATAATTATTTCTTACTCTTACATGGGGTAGTGTATATCCAACCATGATCCTTTGTGCACAAACCAGAGTTGATTTTTATTTGTTGATAAAAAATACACCAAGAGACGGCCAAATGACATAACAGGTTTTCCTTAGAAGACCCATCAACCAGGGCAAATGAGTAGAAAATATGTGGCATGTCACATAGTAAGCCTTTGACAAATATGCCCCAAGGTGCAAAACATGTTTTGCTTTTGTGATGGCTTAAACAAGATGTGTTAACCAGGATCTTATAAAAGTTGCAATGCCTAACTTTTAGCAAAGATTAACAAAAGAATCTTGACCTTGTAGGATATTTTAGAGGAATGGTTGAAGTACTACCATAATCTGTTCTTATGGCATGTCAAACTCTTACTGTCTCCTAACTTCTTAGGGATATTGTTGCCATATCTTTTTTTAATACAGAAACATGAACACTGAGCATATAAATAATGTTACGTGAGACCAGAAAGCCTTACCATACCTAGCAATCAGTGCAGTCCATGCAGTCGACACATACTGCACCATTGTTCCCCAATGTTTTATACTACATCAACACTCTAAAACACAATCACAGTCGACGAATATATCTCGTCACTCCTTCAATCCCATCAATAATGCTACAAGTATTGCAGGTTTGTTGCACTGACAACATAAGCAAAATCTAGGACTGGTCTCTCCACCATAGGTGATTTGTGGCAAGTCAGATTGTAAATAAATTGCATTTCAGTTGACATGACCTATCCTGAAGATCCTGTTCAATAGATGACAGGGGTTCAGGTCTTATTCATTAACAAAAGGATAGGATTTGATATATTCCCTTCGAAAGTTTAGATTATAAACATATTAATAAGGGCTTTGGAGTTGTGCAAACTATACCTTGAGGTAAACTATGACCTATCTGTCTTAAACTTTACAGTGAAAAATGTATCTTGAAATCCATTTATACTACCAGTATTGTTTTTTTACTTCCTTACATGAATGCATGGCTACATAAATATACATATACAATTCTGACTTGCACAATTCGAGAAACTGACCAGCATTAACTAGAATAAATATACACAAATAGTAAGAATCAACAGTAAAACTCTTCAGAATTCAAAACTCTAATTAGGAAAATCACTTCCTAAATTGACTGAGTAGATATAAACCTTATTTCATCGACGCAGCAAAACTTGGACTATGTATAGAATCACATAAACTACATCTCCAATTCCCTGCTTAATCAGTAAAAGAACACTTTTAACTATCAATACACAAGCATCATCTAGGAGTAAACTGTACCAACTGGTAAATATGCACAAAGTATGTCTATATTATCATAGTCTATTTCTTTGAATCTCTCCATTTCTAATGTTACCCTAAAGCAAATTTAAGTTAATTTGCATAAAAGCCAGCTGCAAAAAGATCTAGACTTGCAGAAAACATCCATCCAAATTTCATTAGGCATGGATGTTATGGAATGGGTGTATCCCAAAAATTGTAACTTCGACATGGAACTGATTTAATGTGACAGAAATTACCTAGGAACATTTCCTATTCAAAATAATGATGGCCTTCAATGTTTTAACAAACAATAAGACAAAAATACAGTTATCTAGTTATTATCTCTTTACCACATATTGTGACCAATAGGTTTTATAAATTTATCTGATGAAAAGTATATTGTATGAAGTAGACGCAGTTGTAGGTAATTCCAATATTTTGACTTACAAGAAAAGATTAAGATTGGATATGTGGGAATAGAGCAACAGAAAGATCATGAATTCCCTAATGTCATGGTTTATAAACAGAACCAAAAAAATGGTAGTGGTAACTTTCATGTCACTTTCTGTTAAAATCATAGAATATCAAACTGGAAGGTAAATTGTGTGCTTGTGTTTTAAGGAGAGACATGGATGATTTTTTCAACACAATTGAAAAATAAGAGTATTACTTAATCAACAACTATTTTGGAATTGGATAGTTAACATCACAGACAATTGGAGATCGCTATCAAACAATAACACAGCCAAGCAAAATATCAACTAGTGACAACACTCTGTGTGGTGCTCACAGTACAACAGACAAAATTGTCTATAAACTCAATCAAAATCACAACACAAGCATGACGAGTTAAAGTCTTTTGTCTCTTATATTGCTGTGTACAACACACAAAAATAATTTGATATTTTCTCTGCTCAAGCACATTTTGACAAACTGTAACTGTTCTCAGTGGTTTTGTCACTATGCTTTACATATAGCATACATGTTCATTTTCCAATAACAGTCTAGAGTCATAATTAAAACCTAGGAAAAAAAATCCCTGATTCAATCAATTAACATAGTTACTGAAATACTTAATTAACAGACTTATTTCTTAGGCAAATGCTCTACATCAAATACAACCGGTGTGATCAAACACAACCTACATTTCCCAAACACTAACTGAATGCATAGAAAAATACTGCTTTAGTTGAAGACAAGCACTGTGCTCTTACAAGGCTTTATGCATTAAAATACAATCTGCAGTTGTCACAAGCTCCTAGAATTGAGCATTCAGACTATCTAATGCTATAAAAATATTATTATATACAGATATGAAAATATTTCTTGCCATTTTGAGTGTTGTGGACTTACCTGACAAAATTGTGAGGACTGAAAATGCTAGCGGTATAAATGTCATTACAACTACCGGTACACTAAACAATGATATTAGCTGCTGTAACAGAACCATTGGGAAAGACACCAGACTGATAAAAACACCATCTATTACCAAGCCTATTACCTTTATACAAACACCTTTTTCTTTATCTCAGATTCATGAAGTCAGGGAAATTACAAGAAATTATTTGTTTCCTTTTGATGCAATACAGACGCATGTTGATTCATTTGCTGCTGACAAGATACAAATTGTTCTTTCAGTTAACATGAATTGGTATTGTATTTGCCAATCTGAAATGTTTTTCGGCCATGTAAATGTTCCTTTTTTATCTTAATCCATCAATAACATAGGCATAAGAACCTAATATACACATTGATCTCTCAGTGGTGCAACAAAATATTTCTAAAAATTCCTGAAAATTTGATAATTTACTTCAAAAGTTCTTAATTTTAATGATTTCATAAAGTGAACAAAAATAATCAAAATTTCTACAGTACCCCGGTAAGCATAATTAAATCTGAGATAAAAATTTAAGTCATGAGGCACTGTAGCTCAATTGGAAAATGGTGCATCTATGAATGTTTGGGGAAAGTAAAATTGAAAAAGAAAATTGAAAATGAATCCAGACCCAATAACAATACAAATTGCAAAGTAGAACAAGCATACCTGAAAATGTTTCTGATACAACCAAAATATTTTGTCTTTTTCTGCATATTAACATTCTATTCTTTATTTTCCAATGGTTAGTATTGTTTGCTGTTCAACGCCACACTCAATGATATTCCAGCAATATGACGGCACCCTGTAAATAATCCAATCTGGACCAGACAATCCCTTCCAAATGGAGTATACATGAAAGGTAAAAGATTTCTGGTGAATGGACCATAACGGTATTGCTCAGATTAAAAAATAAGATGTTGAACATATCAAACTATGAGAGAATCCTGAGTGCAATTAAGCTGGAATCTTCAATGAGGTAACCTGACAATGAATTCTGCCCTACAGAATATTTCCAAATACATGTTTATAGATGATACTCTTCAAATACAACATCAATATAATCTTGCTAATATGTAATTCAATGAAGAACATGTATTTGGTTAACACGACTTCAGGGTCTGGTTTCTGCATAGTTGAAAATAAGCCTGTGATAACGGCTACCTCTACTCATTGATCATTACCCCAGGTACTTGTCATTTTGAGTCTCAAATCCACCAGTTACTTTTTAATTTTCTGACACCACAAATCAATATTTTGTCTTAACAGCAGCCACTGCTTGAAAATATATTCAATCCTAAATCTATGTGAATAGATTATCTAGAAAAAATACTCTTGCATGGGCAGAATTCAGTTTGATATGCACAAAACAATGCATGGACATACCTCATGCAACTACCAAGTCTCAAACTACTCAAACACTGATAACCAAGAGTCTAGCTATAGTCAGGTCGCTAATGTCACACTATGTCTAGGACTATGTAGATATAGGTATCTTACAAAATCTCACAAACAAACCCATTTTTAATGTATATTAACCATCTACCCTAGTCATTGCTAATTGTTCCAAAGCATATACAAAACAAATGTGCAATGCAAAAATATTGTTCTGTTTATATTTCCAGAGCACATTTCTTTGTGTTGGTTCACCAGCAGGTTTATTGTAGGTTGTGGGACTAAGCTATGAGCACACAGTGACTTTAAAATGGTCAATACATGCAAAATGTGTTGAAAACAAATACAATGTGACTTCTGATTTTGGCTGAGGTTAAAACAATGTGACTTTGACGTGGAAAACAATGTGGTATGACTTCTCTACGATCTTGAACACACGGTAAGCATGAGGCAAAAGAGTGCACAGTTGTTCAAATATTTCAGCAACATTGACAAGACTATAGACTGAAGTCTATAAGATGACCATACGATAAATAACCCCACACCACAGAAATAGGATTTGTTATAGCTGCATAGATGCAATGACAGGATCACTGCTTTGTATTGAAATAATCCAATTTCAATGTAATCATTGGACATAACTGATCATGTATCGGTCTACCTTTAGAATCAGCAGAGAGGTCATTGCATATCTTGAATTACAAATCAGGGATGACTTCTATGATCTAATTTTGGAATAAGTTTATGTGGCCAAGAATGTTAATCAACTTGTGGTAAATCATGGGTTAGATATGTCAATACGGTGTATAAATGTCATGTCAAACACAATACAAGAAAACAACTTACACACCTTAAAAAAGGCTTATCAATTACAACATAAGTTGCAGGAAACGTAAAACATTTGTTATGAATGTGAGAAGCATGACTTTGTTCTATCAGGAACCTCTAATGAATGAGTCCAATGAATGACATTTCATTCTACAAAAATAAAATCACAACAAAATAATTTAATCTATAAATATAGGCAACACATGAACACCATCTAAAACTAGACATCTGTGGCACAGCTATATAATTCACTGGTAAAACAAATAAACAAAATACATATCTGTCATGAATGACGAACGATTATCAACATGTCCAAGCAACTTTTCATGTGTACAAATGAACAGCAAAATATGTGCACCAAGTCATGCATGATTATAGTTGAATGTCATTGCTTTTGATGTTTGTACAGATAAAAAAAATCTATGTTTTTACTGACTGCTTAAGAATTGTCACCCGTTTGCTAGTACTACATACATATAACAATATAATAACCCCACACACTAATAAGGTGTCTATAAACCAATACAATAAACACACATACACACATAATGGCAGACTATGAGATTATATTTGGTTTATTAGATCTGTGTTTAATATGAAAATAGTGTGATCACAGTCAATTTAATGGAATTGTGGCACACAAAATGCCTTTGCAATAATAACTCTGCATAATATCTGATGTGCAACCACTGAAACATCCAGCAAATATCCACATAGTTTTCACATGGTTAAAAAGGATAATGTAATGCAAAGATACTATTGGAATGTCAATCATAATAGAGCAAGGAGGCGCAATGTTTTTGATTAAACTCAGACTAGATTTTACAACTTTTCATCATAGGAATCCCAAATTTCAACTTATGACCCTCAGGCTATACTGGTAACACCGGTTTATTTATTGTATCAATCTTTATATCCATCTTCATGATAAATACCATCAGGGGTGTGACAATGCATCCACAAGTCATACATGTTGCAAAATACTTGAACTTACTGAACACATGAATTACATGTATCCTTCAAAACACTTCTTGTAAAGAAGATAATCCATAATCTGAATCTTCCCTGTGTATGAAACAAATCAGTACATGTAACTAAACTGTAAAATAATGTTTCAGAATCACTGGGACCATGCATGAATAGTCACACCTCTACTGATGCATTACAAGTTAGGAAATATGTGTAGGTTTTCCTTTTTAAGTCCAGTAACTTTTCAGTTAATAGGGATAATATTCTAATGCATACCAAGGGTTCATTTCCCTGTATTAAAACTCAATATATTCTGTTTCTACATTGATCATGTCAATTATATACGTTGTAAATATAGTTCAAATTCATTGATACAGTAAATCATGTTAACATTGAAGAAACAGAAAGATCAACAAGTTCAACTAGCAAATGTTAACAAGCATTAAACTTCAAATTTAATCATGTAAAACTATTGACTATTAGAATGAAAGTCTCATGTTGAGTAATATATCACAGTATCGTATAAATAGATTCATCATGCATCACATATGTTGAAAGGAATGACATTTTGATATTTTGGAAATACAGCTCAACTCAACCTACAAGAAACTTATATTGTTGCCACAAATAATTCTCTCAAGTATGTGACTGTCAAAAGACAAACTTAAGTTATATTAAAGCAGATCTCAGAAAATAGGTAACACTGTGAAAAGTAATTGTGAAAATATTTCATATCCTTTTGACTTGACAAAAAGCAGACGTTACTAATGGTACAATCCATAATTAATCAGCAATGGGCATATTCAACAATATTTGCATTTCATAACAAAAACAATTATGTCACTTAAGTGTACTTTTTACTTGGTCCCTGAAGTTTGTTCTTGAGCAGCATTCTGTCTACAGCTAATTGGTAAAAGGTTCAAATGTTTATGAAATAAACATGGATCTAATCATGGAAAAAGAATTGATTAGTTTCAAACATCAACAATTTTCCAAAACCCTGATAGCTGCATATTTTGATCAAATACACAATTTCTAAAAGGTCTATTTAGACCTGTGAACAATTCTCTTGGCAGGAATGCTACTCTGTGAAAGGAATGACAAGATGGGAAAACTGGCTTTTGAAAAGTTCATGAGTCCTGATTCCTGTACAAATCACCTTTGACAATCAGTACTTTACACAAAAACTGCAGAATTGAATAGTTCTTAGTATAAAAATTGATTACTTTGGTATCATGGAATGATATTGTTTAATTCTGTATCGAAACATATTGCTGAACCATAGAACCAGGACAAACACCTTTTCAAACCACAGCAATCACTAGCACAGCAAGATGACATTAAAATTTGAAAGAAAAAAAAATTGAAAAAGAATTAATTGTGACCATATAATAGAAATCAAGTTGATAATGCATTTGTGGCAAACAATCACTGATCCTGTGAACTGTGAATCCCCAGTGGAGGGATAGACTAGACACAAACTTGTGGGAATTCCATCACTAATAAAATACAAATTAGTCATAGAAAAATACACGCAACTTGAGTACAATACTGCAATCAACAGTGTGGCATTTCTTCATACGGCACCTAGGGATTTATGTCATTCAGATTTCTCAAGTTAGTTTCTTGGGGAGGGTAAGAAAATAGATTTGTTTGAAACACAGTAATACTTGAATCTCCATGATTTTAGTTGATGTCTCTGAAGTTGCTACGGGACATTATTACACCAGTGATAACTTCAAAAATCTAGCTAATAACTACAAACTACTCACACTACAAACCATTCTATTAAAAAACTACTTTTTCACTCCCACTGTATTGGGAGGAAATGAATCAATAAATACATTCAAAATGTGCACGGAATAAGTTATTCATTTGGGATATGTATAACAATACATCCCAAACTTCATCAAAATCTTTCCAAACCTATCTGTAGTTCGAGTAATAGGGTACCTTTATCCATAGTCAGCAGTTGTTGAAGTTCATGGAGTAAAACAGGAAGTAGCAACTTGAAAAGAAAAAGCCCCCCAAAATATGCTTTGATTCTGCTCTGTATGCATGAATTTATTATACATAACCTATCAATTTCATTGACATTCTCCTAGCATATTTTTAAATAATCAAAAATCTTTTCGCCGGTCACCCACTACTGAATTGTTAAAAATAATAATAGTCACAACCAATCATGTTTTGAAAGCTTTGTTAGGTGAACCACATTTGAGATAGATGAGGCCTTCAAAATATTTACCTTTTTAGCTACACCATTAATTATTTGGACTACAGAATCAAATAAAGACCTGAGAAAATAAATAGAGACAATGTACATAACTAAATTCTCCCATGGCTGACCATTGTTGGGATAGCAAAGTGGAGATAATTCAACTTTTAGATTCTATGAATGGGAACAACTCATGATATAATTGTGACTATGGAGCAGGTACCCCACAAGCTACACTGGAGAATCAATATCAGACCTTTTGGTATTTTGCAGTTTAACTATGCTGAATAGGACAATTTTGTCCCCATTACATATGTTGAAAATAAATAAACCATTTGGGCATCATCTTTGAATAATTGTTGGTAATATTTGCTTTGATTGCAAGATATCCTGACAGTGTGTTTTATTTAACACTGATATATACATATTCACATATCATATTAAATAAATATGAATCAAATAAAAAATATACACAAATATCTCTATGTAATGTATGTTAAATCCATAGATTTCTTGACTCATTCTGTAACATTATAAATCTGACTAATGAGAAAATTTAATATGATCTGAAGATGTCATGCGGGTTACAATTTCGATTCTGATATGTATTCATATAAATAGCTTTTAGACTGCGTAGCTCAACTGGCTAACAAAACATTGTGATGATATCATTAGTATCTATTAATATTCAAGCAGTTATTTAATACTTGAACACAAACATAGTCCAGCTGTTTCAAATGTTTGGATAACATTTGGTCAATACTTGTGAGAATGGCTGTCAAAAAGAGTCCAGTGATAGCTGACCTTTCAATTCATGATCGAAAAATTAATATAATACACTGAAAATGAGACACTAATTCTATCAAATGTCTGATTACATTTGAAGAAATTGATACTGGTCCAAGGCATACCTTTAACACAGGGCAGGTTTTCTTTAGTTTTAGCAATTTACAGTGTCTGTTACATCATCTTTTTGATTGGTTAAGGCCTGCACTCATGCTATGTTTTAAAGCAACCATCATTTTCTGATATTTCTTTGAAAAGAGAATTAACATTAATGAAGTTCTGTCAAACTGAACTTCAGATACTGATTCCTTGAACAAACTTTCACTTTTCTTTAGGTCAGGAGTCAGGAATACCTACACCATTTATCAATCTAATGAGAAGGTGAAAATGTGACAAATTTATTTCCCAAATCTACAGGATCCAGTGTCCCTATTGGCCAGATGAGCTAACATATTCTGATTACATGTCAATATTCACAACCTTTAGTTCAGATCTTCTTTACTTCTCAAAATCAGAGAATGAATTGCTTGCCCAAGAGGCATGCAAGATCTTCCAACAACAAAAAAATACAATATGAATAATTACTATTCATAAAGGAGATTCTTCATATATGTGATAATACATTCATGACCTGAATTGGTTATGTAGTAGAAAATATCTATTAATCAAATGGTCTGAAGAGACAATCATGTCTGAATTGGACGGAAATAAATGACTTGAAAGATTAAAAACTCAGACTTCCATCTTATAATGCTATGAAAAACTGATACAATACAAATTATGAAACAAGAAGTCATATTTATCAAATACTTGAGATTCACCGGTGTAGAAAACTGCTCAATAATCCAAAGGTCTGACTTGAAATCACCTCAGTAGCTTTACAAAAACCACACATAACGAACTAGGCACATGTTAGCATTCTCTGGTTAATCCAACAAAACAATAAACTTCAAATACTATCACAAATCTATGATGGTCAATCTAAACCCATATATCACAAGCTAAGATACCTGTCAAATGCTTGTCCAAGTTCATATTGCTCTATTATTATTACTCAACCAGCATTTCAGTGATTGACGTTGTTCAACAATAAGCACTAACCCTGTTTACCTTTGCTGATCCTTTGCTTAAGCTTGCAGTGTTAGCTCACTTTAACAGTGTACAACAGTCAACTATGTCAATTTTCCAAAAATTGATAGTTGCAACAGTAACGAATATCTACGCTTTACACATCCATCCAAAATAAATAGGATTTCCAAAAATTGAGGTTGAAGCTGAGTCCTTTCAGCACCTCACTCTGTTCCCGCTGTAATGTCTTCTTCTTTTTCCTCATTAACTGGGTTGCCAGTGTCTGGTACTTTCACAAAAGCCTCAATGTTGACTGGGCTTTGAACATTTACACCAGCTTGTGGAATCAGTGGATTTTCTTTATCTGACATCTGCAGGGCACACCATGTTGCTGTTCTAGCTCGTCGAGTGTGCGCTGTGAGTTCACTGATACTGGCAGCCAAAGCCAATACATCTGCAAAACAGAATATCAAAGTTCAAAACTACAATAATAAGAACACCAGATCAGCACAGTTCCTAAAAGAAAATATGGTATTACCATCTGTGCTTTTGAAATGTTTAGCATAGTAAAAGGGTAATCTGTCAACCAGTGAGTAAGTAAGGGAATTTGTGAATAAGCTTTATGACACACCACCTGACTTGGCAACACTGTAAGAAAGGGCCAGTAAGCTCATGAAGCAAGTGTCCATTGTCCTTTCTCTTTTTCTATATATACCAAATTGCATATGGCTGCTTGCATAATGGTTAAATGATGGTGTAAAATAGGATCAGAATTGTTCTACTTGAAAATGGTGAGACCTCAAGGAAATATCTAAACAAACCTACTGACAAATGTTCACCACCATTGCCACATTACTCATCAGTCACATTAATGGCAACATGGTAAAAAGGTGGAATGTATTCAATTTAGATCTCTGCTTTTAGATCAAGTCTGTAACATGTTCAGCATGTTCAGTTTGAATTGAAATTTACAGTTTGATTTTCCAAATGATGTCTATGTTAGAACATATTCTCTTGACCTGCACAACACATATCAAAGCTGAAATTATGGTTGTGCATATGTTGAAGTGTTTCATTTGATGTGTATCATTTCAAAGTGTATCTGTAATTTCTATTGAGCATACATAAACATTCAAACTATTCCTATATGGTCATGTGATGAGATCTGGCATTAATGGATCACAGAGAAATAATGACACTATTGCATGTTGTAGAGAAGAATCTGTTGTAGCCAGGACATACAGAGCATGGTTTACAAACATGTCTATACACTTCTTTGAGCGGCATTTAGGGCTTTGAGGGCTTTGACTTTGTCCCACTAGATGCTGTGGCTTGGGTTGTCATGGATATGATCTGAAAGAGCTGATTTAAAGCCACAGGAAAACCACCAGCCAGCCACAAGCTAGAACCATCAGGAGCAGTGTACCACATTCTGTGAAATTGTGGACAAGCTTATATTGGCGAAAGATCTAGGCCCCTCAAAACCCGAATTAAAGAACATCTAAGTTCTAACTGCATCTTAAACCTATTCAACTGTATAAACACTGCTTCCTATCCTGTATATATATACTTGTCAACCATACTCTGTACATCACTTGCTTGATAACGGTGTTAGAACCTACACCGAAACTTATGTATGTCAATACACTGATGTTTTGGGGCAGAATAGTTCTGGACACAGAGCCATTTGCCATAACAAATGTTAAACCTTCAGAATACCTAACCAAATAACAATTACTGTAACAAATTGACGTTGCAAGCATGAAAACAAATATGTCCAACCTTTATCCTCCTGATGGCGCGATACACCTGCTCGATGTCTATTGGCAGCATTAACGATTTCTTCCTTCCTTCTAGCCTGGACTTTCCTGATACCCTCCAGCCACTTGTCAAGGGAGGAATGGACATTAGGATGGATGGATATTGTTCTTAGTTTTTCCATCTTATCAATCAGTGTGATAATCTGAAAGAGAAAGATTGCATTAATGTGTGAAAACAAGTCCTAGTTTTTGCAAAACTGTTACTAGATGTTTGTTGATGTTGCACCGACTGAGCCAATGTTTTATGTTTCAAAAATTTCCAAACTGACCAATAATTCAAAAAACTTGGGCCAACAATAGTACAATGATGGCAAAATCTCATTTTTACTGTTTAATATCTTATTTTGTTCTTCCAAGTTCTTGAACATCCTGATTTACTTTCAATATCATGCATTGAATATCCTGTATATTGGAGGATATTCCCATATTAAATATTAATGACTAACGATATCAGACTACGTATATTTAATGACCCGTGAAGATTCCGGGGTAGAATAGGTCTTCAGCAACCCATACTTGCCGAAAAAGGCGACTATGCTTGTCGTAAAAGGTGACTAACGGGATCGGGTGCTCAGGCTCGCTGACTTGGTTGATACATGTCATCGATCCCAAATGCGTGGATCGATGCTCATGCTGTCAATCACTGGATTGTCTGGTCCAGACTCGATTATTTACAGGCCGCCGTCATATAGCTGGAATATTGCTGAGGGCGGCGTAAAACAACAAACCAAACCAAAACCAAAACATTTATTTAATACCCAAGTTATCATAAGTGCATGAGGTCCCGCCCCACCCGATTGTTGTGTCACATTACCACTGTGTTTACTGTTACTGTGCGCTGTGTCCACTTCAGCGCCTGGTTAATACATGTACCAAGCTTGGATGAAAAATCTTTCACATTTTTCATGTTATGCTCCGTAAACAAGAAACAAATGGATGGATAGACCTATGAGGACCATATCCCTTCCCTGCCTTATATGTGGGTGGGGTTGGGTGGTGGGATGTGTGTGGAGAGAAGAGAGAGGGAAAGAAGATAAAAAAAAAGAAAGAAAAAAAAAATATGTCAAAAGATAATATTTTGTTATACGCATGTTACTTGATTTCACAAACAATGTGCCATTAGAGTAATACTAGAGAGAATCCTAAAGTCAAGATGCTTAATTGAGTATGATGTATGTATTATTTACAAAAACATGACAATACCCTGAGGATCAATAAACATACTGTATATGTGAACTCAATTTAATCTAAACAAATTCAACTACATTGGTACAAAATATAAGGCAGGAAAGTGTTTTAAATAAAAAGAACAAGAAACTCATTCATACTTTCCCAGCAAAACTCTTTAAAATCTGTATCAGGCACATAAACAGGCAGTTCCAAATGGGAAACAAGACAAAGTCATCAATATCCCCTGTCCTTTTAACTGTCCATTATTCACAAAAAGTTCATAAGAAGCTTGTGAGTACAACTGACACTATGAGTGATCACTAAACTAAATGAATCCCTCTATTCTTTAAATGCATTAAATACGATCCAAGGTTCTTTTCAATAGACATAGCTCATCAGTTTTAGGTGGTGGGATAATAATGATCATCCCCATGTTGTGGATATTATTCAACACCTTGGCATCTTTCAGCCAACAAAAATACACATTTTCTTAGCCGTTTCATTTCTACACCAACATTAATAAAAGCAGACATCTGATTGGTTCATAAACTCACAATTCATTGACAGCTCAAACTTTATTACCTAAGAAAGGCTATCAAATCTTGACACAAGTATCAAATGTAATTTTCATGAGATTGGTTCCTAGCAACAGAATCATCAGTTCACCAAGAGAAATGGTTAGCATGAGCAAAGATAATACACCAAACTATTCAACAATTATCAGAGTTTTGATTGGAGAGCTAATAAACATCCTATTATCAACAACACAAATCAATACCCTTGCATGTTCCCTGAAGGAATCCACAATAAGTCGATCCACTCTAGAAGGGTTTGATGGCAGTCGAGGAATGACAATATTGTTGGCACTTGATACTTTCTTTCCTGGGTTTTGTCTGGCTAGTTCTGCTTCAGTCTTCAAAAAAGATAATTTAAGGCATTATGAAAGGATATAAGGTATTAAAAAGTAATTGCAACAGAACAAAGTATTCTGACAAATCAATGACTTCCTGTATAGAACAAAACATCATAACACAAATTCAAAACAATAAATATCGAGAATTCAGGGCTCCAAATAATATTTATGATAAATCGAAATATTGATATATTGCTATTGGTAAGCACTTTAAGTCAATAAATCAATAGTTAAATCAGTTTCCGATCAAGAGTATCGATTTCAGTTAGGAATATCGATAGTTTCGATTGTATTAACCATATCATGCGATTGCGTCACCAAAACACGCTTGCGAACGCTACAACGCAGCCGAGTGAGGATTAGAGATAACTGCCTGTAACATGTTTAATGCTTAGCAACCAGTCTTTCTTAAAGTAAAATGGCGGAGGGTGACAGTCAAGTGGAGTTTGTGGCAAACTTGAATGGAAAATTGAGTGTTTGGAAGTCTTTTGGCTATGTTAAAGAAAACAAGTATTTGTCACAAAGTGACGAAATGTCCCCCCCCCCCTGTATATACACCATAGTACCAAATATGAAGACAATCCAGCGATTAGTTCTTGAGATATATCGCGGCAACACCGTTTTCCAACTCCAAAAGCAGATTTGCCTGCTGTGACCTTGAAAATGGGGTCAAGGTCACCAAAACCGACTGGTGTCTGCGGAGTCTGTATATACACCATCATTTCAAATATGAAGACAATCCAGTGTTTAGTTCTTGAGATATCGCGGCAACAAACAGGTGGGACGTACGGACGGTCGTGAATACTATATCCCCTGCTTCGCGATTTCGCGCGGCGGGGGACAATAACAAGCTTGACCATGTTGACAAGAAACATGTTGGATGCCGAAAGTCCATTTAAAATGATACACTACCGATATTTATCGCAACAGTTGCTTGCAATATCAATAGTTATCGCAATAGTTGCTTGCAATATCAATAGTTATCGCAATAGTTTCCTTCAATGTCAATAGTTATCGCAATAATGATTTCCAGACCAATAGTCACCCCTTTTAGCAAGCAGCTCAAAACTATTAAGGTCATGGTGATGTATTTGGCATATTTTACAAAAATATGCAGGTTATCTAGAGCTCTGAGTCTTTATTTATTACTTGATTCTTTCAAACACTCAACAAAAACTATAAATATGCAACTGAAATATTACAAATATTAGATAAAGCTATTGCACATATTACAACTCTTAGGTTGTGTATCACCTGATCACTTACAGACAGTTACATTAACATCATGATTAGAAGAAAAACCTGTGTGACAAACAAACTGGAATACCGATAAGATTCCAATTGAAAAGCACACCATGCCTAGTCAAAGTATCTTCAACAGTCGCTGATTGGGGGTAAAAAGAAAATAGCGCCTTTCTTACAATGTCAGGTTTAGCAAACAAAATTGGCTTCGGTAAACAAAGTACCTGTCATTCGTGAATCTTAACGCTGTTAGGTTGTGTGGATTATATGGTTTACATCACTTCCTGTTTTGTATTTTGCATAATCAGTAAGCATACGACCAAGTTTGGGTCAAGGGACTTCGTCTGAACAAATGGGTTCTTTTCAATCAATCAATTTCGAATGGAGGTAGGGGTAATTCCACTTTAAAAACATCCCAGAAACTATCATAAAAAGTTAATGTGTGTATACTTGCAGGTAACCGTGACATAGCGCAACGAGTCCTGTATTCGATCATGCGATGAAATATATCATGCTTAGATTTGCATAATTTAACAGTTAACATGGTGTGTGGATAATGAGATTTACCAATACCTTGATACTGTATATGATAAAGAATAAATGCGAACACTTGAATGTAAGTGTTGTTTTTATCTAGCGGACTCTGAATATTTAGGTATTCTACAACAGACTTATCCAGCTGTTTCTTTGGTGAGTTATATTAAGAATAGCAAAACAGAACAGTTATCAGTGTAACTGACATGTATAAACATTTAAAGCACCTGAAATACGTTGACTAGATTCATCAAGGAAATGATGGATCCCTGAACACACTCTTACAAAAAAACATTTGATATGCCAATTATGTCAGGACTCATTGATGTAATTGTCACAGTTACGGTATGAACTCACTACTCAGTACAGTAGCATCAGAACAGCCATTGAACTTGACTGAATCCATAAACTTCAAATCATTGGTAGATATAAATATAATCATTCACGAATGTCTGTCCCAATGACCCCTTACCTATGGCTGATAACCTGTGTACTGCCTTTTCATTTACTAAGTTAGACATTAACATGGATAATTTTGTGTTAACATTCATTAATATCAAATTTCCATTTTAAGAAATTGTTTGTCCCTTAATGTAAACCTCTTGGTCATGAGAGCAGGATGTGCAGTGATGTGAACCTTTCTCTCACTTTGCCTGTTTGTTGATATTTTGCAGTTGCGAAAAGATTTCTGATTTTTTATCACTGTGTTATGTTATATTATAATGCAATAAATTGGACCCCTCCATTTTCATTTGGGAACCCTAGTTTTATGATGAAGGGGTCCAAGTGACCCCAAGAAATTTAAGCCAGAGCAGACACTGTACTACTATTCTCTAAATGATTTTCAAGGATTGTTACAAAACAGGTTTTCAAGTCAAAATGCCCTAATGTCACGAAACAGGTGGGTAAATATTTTTTGAATACCGGTACCCTCTAACAATTGTGGATACCCAATCACAATCAAACCCCTTTGTAAAATACCCAAATAACCAAAAGCTAATCTAGAGCTCTGCAATGTTACCCTATCAGTATATACAATATGTCTATCAGAATGATAGAACATCAATGTTAACTTAATGTTTCGTGTACATTCTCATGGTCAAATCATCAAAATTCTAATTCAAATTGTTTTCCACAGAAAATAGGCAACATTTCAATGTCTAGAATGAAGTGTGTTTAATGTACAAGTAATCATTAAAAGGTCATTTAAGCAAACTATATCAAAATAATGTTAAAATCTTGTTATCATTCTTCAGGTTATTTCATTTACTTCTTTCATACCTTCTTTCTCTCTTTCTCAATTGCCTTGAACTGTTCGTAACATTCCTCTAGCTTAAGATGAAGTTCATTAGAGGGTCCACTTCTCCTGTGAATGTGAAAGAAAGAGTTAGTCAACCTTGTTTACCATAGTTTACAATACCAATATAAAGTCTTTAAGATGCATGTAAACCATGGAAAATATCCTATTACTGAATGTGAGCTAGTTTAGGTAAATAGTGTATTTGCAAATGGAATTGTATAAATTCTTTCAAGACAAATTGCAGCATACATCAATACCGTCAAATTTCACATATTCTCAAATCTTACAATATTCCTGTATATTTTTACATGGTATATGCAAACCTGAAGCATACTCTCATGTTCAAAACATGTATCAAGGCTGGATGGTATAACAACATACTTGAATAAATAGCCTTCTCTTCTCTGTATTGTGGAAACATACCTGAAAGAGCGCATTCCTTGAAAGAAGCCAGGATGGAGGCCTAAGACATATTGTGGGAAGTCAGGGTAGAGCATTTCAGGGATGAATCCAGGCGCAATTCTGGGCAAAGGTTCAATTGGAAAGTAGTCAAATGCTTCAGCAGGCAAGGCACCATGGGAAGGACTGAAGAGAGGGTGGGGAGGATAGTGGAGAAGATGCTGATGATGAGACAGGGAGTGTCGGAGACCTTGATCATGGAGGAGACATTCTTCAAGAAACTTCTGTTTGTCAACTTGGTCATGGTCAAAGGCAAAGGGGAGTAACTCAGGAGAAATGTGATCAAGATTGCCAAGTGCAGGGTGGTGGGTCTCTCTACCAACCTGGTCAGCAGACCAGCGGTCATAGTTTGGCGAGGAGAACATATCATGTGGTAATCCTTTCATTTTTCGATTGTAGAAACCATGAGGAATAAAATTCTGCAATCCATGTTTCTCTCTGTTGAGAGGAGTAGATGAGCTGATTGGCACATAATCCTTTTTCAGGTTCTGCATTTTGTTCAGGAAATGGCCAGGTACCTGAATATTGCCACTTGAGGTGTCGGACTGATGCTGTGGTCTCTCTGGGGGAACATTTCCTTCCCCTGGTGAACTAGGAGTACTGGGATCAGACAGACTGTAGTTACTTTGATAACTGACTGGAGTATGCGTATTCACATGAATGGGGTGCATAAAATCATTGTCATGCTGCATATGTTGCTGGGAAGAGTGCTGGTGTTTCAAGGCAGCTGCATTGTGAGAATTGAAGTTAGATGATGGCAAATAGTTGAACATCTGCTTCTCAACATCTGGAGGTTGATCGTCAGTCTTGGTTGGTGTTGTCTGGAATGTCTTGTTTTTCTTGAAGCTGAAGGGCTCACTTCCTCCTGGATATGTTTGTTTTGCTGCATTGACATGCTGAGCCACAGCACTTTGAAAGGCGCTTTGAGCCATACTGTGTTCCTGAGAATGGTGAATCTTTGGTGAAGTGTCATGGGCTGATGAAGTAAAAGCAGAATTCAATGTTGGCTGTGAAGGAAAAGCTTTTAACTTTAAGTGATTCTGGAATGTGGCAAAATTCTGTGGTAAGGACATTTCGTTGAACATATCATTGTTCATATTTTGATAAGACCTGTCCAATTTTTGCTTTCCGCTATATTCAGATTGAGCTTGAAATTGTTGGGGAAAGTTTTCATGGATCTGGCCACTGGGAAGTCGGGATGCATCCTTAGCATTAAAACCCTGTGAGAAAAAGTGATCTGGCGTTTCAGAAACATGTGAAGAAAAGCTGTTTTCATCCCACAAATTTTGTGTCATGCTTGAAGCATGTTCAAAACTTCCATATGAGGTGGAGTTTTTATCTGACTTCCCAGAAGGTGTTCCCTCGCTGCCGGTTGACCACACACTTCCAGATGCAAAGCCAGGTGATCTGGAATGGAAATTATTATTCTCAAAACAGCATATTATTGATAGTGCTGTGAATGATAAAATTTCTTCAGAGTTTGGGTGAGACTTTGCCCCAGCAATTTATTGGGTCCTAATTAGGGTTGTGTATTGTCTAGAATCTTGTATTGCAAAATAATGCAATACTCTGATCTGTATTGTGACATGTACATAATAAAGTATTGCAATATCCTGCCATTAACCATGTTAACATTTTTATTAGATATGTAGTTCAAAGACAAATGAGTGGATGAGTGAGTGAATTGTATTTAACACCGCTTTCGTGAAAGCCCGAAGTGATGCAGGACACAGACGTTAACCATTTTGGTGAAACTGAAAATGGCTTTCTTGACAGTTTGCTTGTGAGTTAATTTGTTGGTCAGTTTTTTCTTACATCATTTGGACCTATGTGGTCCTGTGGGGCAGTTGATTGTTTTTACATAAACATCTTAAATCTACCCTAATACATCAACATAACACACGCCATGATCAGCTTTGAAATTCTTAAACATTATTTACACAGTTAATGGCTAAGAGGACCTTTTAACTTTCATGCTTATTTTCACTGATGATGGTTGTAGAATGCGGTAGACTGTTCTGATTGGTGGTATCATTTAGAACCCATAAATATCCATTTAACAGTTAGTCAGTTTCACATTTTACCCATCAAAAGGGTCCAATAGTTGGGGATAGATGTGAGGTTGGGCGGTGCTAAACTCTCTTGGATATCTTTGGGTAATACCAGTAAAAGCAAATTGTAAATTTTACAATAAATTGTATATTAATAACCCTTATCCTATCTCACACTATGCATTTCTTCCTTCTTCTTTCGATCCTTATGTGGAAACATGCTTGGACAAAGTTTCCGGCTTCTAAAACCATTTTGCCTGAACACATTCCAGCATCACCATAGTCACCATGCAAACAAATGGGTCACGGACTGTCATCTTGTGCATTGTGACCTTACACGACTTGATCACATGCCACATCATTCTCTGAGTTGACAGACAAGAGCTGTGATGCGGGCATATAACGTGTGAGATAAGATAAGTATTATAAATATACAATTGAATGTAAAATTTACAAATACTTAAACTTTTCCAATCTCACACTATGAATTTATCCCATGGTTGGATTGTGGGGCGCAGATACCCTAGCCTGTATAGACTACAACTGATATACGTTCACGAGGAAGCTGGTGCTAACCAGTGATAGAAACATTAAAGCTATAACACTAGCCCAGTGTCGAAAAGACAAGAACTTGCGAGTGGGTAAAAAACTCCGTAACAGGCGATGTGAGCCCTTTACACTACTCGGATATAACACCATGAAATGAGTAAAACATGTTACATGTTTTCACGTTAGACATTGTTACATGAATGGCCATGAAGCTTTGAATAGGGATCTATTCAGTTTACGACTTATAACGAGGCAGGAAGAAGTCTCCAGTCAATCAGTTCTACAAGAGAGACCACACCACAACCTGCTACTGAAAATGGGATGAGCCAGTTTGGTATATTTTTTTCAGCTTTATCAAAGCTATCATTAACACCAACGAGACCATGGAGCCAAATAGGTGGAGGCCCTGAACGTGAAATGTCAAGCAGATAGTGGGAAGCGAAGACTGTCAGACTTTCAAAAACAACCCTCCATGATGGCAGACAGGGTGCAATTGCTGTGCAAGGCTATGGTGGAGGTGATGGCTTTAGTCCCATGTGGATAGGACATCACAGGAGGCAATCCAGCAAAGGCGTAGGCCCAAAGGATAGTGATCGCAGCCAAAGGGAGACTGTGGTATGGGACACTTCCATGGAGGCTGCCATGGAAAGTGGGATGAGAGTCTCTTGTGGGCGCATTGAAGTAGCATCGCAGCCTCGGGGAAGATGCGGATAGCTGTAACCGGGCATAAGAAGATGTCTTCATGGTCATCAAGGTTCAGGTTGGATGCCAACCAGGGGATGGTAAACAAATGGTCTTGCTGGCCCTTGAAGCTGATTCTTCGCAATAAAGCCCCGGAAAAAACTTCCAATTGTGAATTCTCTCAAACTGTACCTGGCTAACATTGAGAGCGTGGATCTCACTCTAGCAGCAGTTGCAAGGGCCAGGAGAAACAGCCAGAGCGTTGTGGTCCCATGCCTGAGGATCTGGAATGGAAGAGAGGAACATGGGGAGCCGGAATGAACAGCCGGAATGAACGGCCGCAAAGAGACTCCAGTGCAAACAGTCAACAGCACCAGCCATCATGCTTACATAGTAAGACCAGTGGGCAGGTATTGTCCTGGTGGTAGGTCCTCAGGAAGCACTGGCTAGGTTGACCCCTCTGAGTGAGTGCTTGTGCCAACGTCAGAATACCTAGCAGCTGTTGCCATTGACATGTATGGGCTTTGAGTGCTAATGGCACTAAACATTCTAACTTCAACCATCTGTCCGGGGAAACAAACATCTTGCCCTGTTTATTGTCGAAGAGAGCCCTGATAAACTGAAGATGTTGGGTGGGAGTCGACTTTGACTTTGCAACGTTGACGAGCCAGCCTAGCTGATGGAGAAGCACCTGCATGAACTCCAGGTGTCTGGATCTGTGTGGGCTTGAATACAATCGTCAATATAAGCCTCGAAGACGATCCCTTGAACGTGCAGAAACTTAGTGATTGGCTTGGTAATAGGGTAAGAAACTATGGGGCCGAAGAAATTCAAAATGGGAGCACCTTCCATTGGTAGTGGCGGCCTAGAAAAACGGACCGGATGATCAACCGCAGTAGGTGCTGTTTCTGGAGCTTAAGCAGGACTACGGATATCTCGTGATAGGTGTCCCGAGTGACATCTAGGGCCACTTTTTTATCCTGTTGGATAACAGGTAGACCAAGGTAGTTGGTATAAGCATGCCTTGAAGTGGTCTTCCCACTGACAGTACTGGAGGAGACCGCATTGGCTGAAAGCTGTGATGGTGCCTGCAAGATGTAAATTGAGATCAAAGACACACATAAACTTCTCTTGGATCAGCGGAATTGAACCTCTGATAAGGGATTCCTCATAAGACCTGGCATGTGACATGGCCGAGGCAATGGATTCTGTCAGTGAGAGGATTGTAGAAATAAGCCGGAGTGTGTGCTGGAAGGTAGTATCCAAATGGGCGAGGTCTCGATCATTCGTAATGGAAGAATGCTTAGGTCTGCGTGTAGCTATATCCCCATCCAATTCAGGAGCCACAATAGTAGAAGATAAACCATGGGTGGCAGTATCAGCCAAGTTGAATCTAGGAGTTTGCAATTGATCTCATAAACAATAAAAAGCAGCAAACGCCTTGTCTAGAATACCATAGTAGGAGCATACACAGATGGTGCACAGGAGACAGGGCCAGAGAATGTGCCGTTGATCTGTGTGTATTGCGATCCGATTGATTATCAATGGTACATGAACCTTGATGCGTAGAACAGCGTTAGAAATTGGCACTAGTCCTGTAGTCCTTACCAAACTGCCCAATGGTAAAGGTATTATAAGGACTAGTAGAAATTAGCCCATTTTAAGGGTTTTGATATATGTTATCATTATAAGGACTAGTGCACAAAAACTGTTAGTTTCTAACACTGTAGAAGAGGGTCAAAGACGATCGGTGTATCGATGGTGATCCAAAGATTAACCCCAGGGCGGCATATAGCGCTGAAAGTCTGAATGAGGTCTGTAGTCAGGATAAGTTTGGTAACGATGTTGATCAGTGTATGGTCCAGGCACTGCATAAGGGTAGATACACATGTGACGATATCGATCCATGGTAGGGTACTGATTCCAGCCGTCATGATAATCCCTGTACTTATTATGTTACTGGTGATCTGTGGACTAAGGCCAAAAGTGATGTCGCTGTGGATCTGAGTCATAAGAACAGGAACGATCCTGTCGATGCTGACGATCCGAATGATCCGCAGAATCAGTGTGATATTAATCCTCATCGATCTTGTGAGTGTCAATCCATCATAATATTAATCCTCATCGATCTTGCGAGTGTCAATCCATCAAACGGCGACCCATAGATCTGGAATATCAATGCCTTGCTCGACCCTTGGATGATCTATCCCTCAAATGGTAATCCTTTTATGAAATATGACGATCCGTATGTGTGGTCCTAGTGTGATCCCGGCTTTTTTGTCCTGTAGTAGAAGTAGAGGGTGAACTTGTATGATTGATCCTAGGTGAAGTCAAAACAGCCAGTGTTGACATTGGAGCGACTATCCAATAATGGGATGGTCAGGTTAGTGACAACTTGAAAATCACGTGGAAGAGCAGAGGAAGAGAAATGACTTTCGGCCGACGGTCAAGGAGCGCTTGGAGGGTCGCCAGTAGGGACTGTCGAAGCTAGCATGGACAAGCTGTCCTTAGACATGACCATGCAAACATCTGAGGCTTCATGCTGCTTCAGCGTAGGGTGAAAGGGGGACAGACGACTGCTTCGTTTTGGCGGGAACTTTGCCTTGGAGGAAACTGCCCAAAATGCTATCATCTTCAACGGACAAAGAGATTATGGTAGATGCAGAGCTGGTTTGACTAACGCTACAGTAGAAGGGACAGCCGGTTTGATAACACACATGGGTTTCTTTGCAGAGGGAGGCCCGTGTTCAGCGTCCTTAGATTTCAACCGGCGGTGAATACAACACATAAGCATTTGCGTAAATACATGTGGAAAGCTTCAGCCAAGAGGTGAGAACACTGGGCAGCGGTAGAAACAAACATTTTCCTTCCACTAGTTCTTATAATGATAACATGTAGAAAAACCCTTAGAAATGGCAGATTTCTACTGGTCCATTTGATTCCTTAACTATTGGGAAGTTTGGCAAGGACTACAGGACTAGTGTCAATTTCTGCTGCTGGGAACATCAGTTGTGCCAATTGCAACAAACATCAAGAATAAGTATGTCAGCATTTTCTACAGGCAGGGAGGTGAACATTTTCTGTTCCCATCCTCTTCATGAATTTGTGCTGTAGATGTTGATACAAATGAGGAGCTAGCTCACGCACCGAAAAATTATGTTCAGGTGATCAAGTCGTGTAAGGTCAGCACCTACATGTTTACAATGCTGGACCCATTTGTTTGGGTGGTGACCATGGTGATGCTGGGATGTGTTCGGGCAAAATGGTTCTAGAAGCTGGAAACTTTGAAGGATCAAAAGAACAATGAACAAACGCATAGTGTGAGATAGGATAAGCGTAAAAATGTGATTTTATCATGTTTACTTAGCTTTCTGTAACAATCAGTGATAGCTATGCCTATTCAAATTGAAAGTTGAAATACATACCCATCAAAGGAAAAGACATCTGATGTGGCCTGCGACTGAGTTTCTTCATTAAACTCTCCAAAGAGGCTGGCAGAGAATAGAGAAGAATCATCATCAACTATCTTGTTGACAAGATCATCAAAAGCTGACAGTTTGTCGCTAGAGCAATTGTTGAGTCCCCCACTTTGATGATCCGGGAAAGCAAAGGAAAATGGTGATGCGTGGTCAGGTTCAAGTTTCTGTGCATTTTTGGAACTGTATGTCATGTGACTCCATTCTGGATAGGCAGTCTGCTGACTGTCCGAGGATGCCAGCTGTGAGCCCGTCTGCATTGTGTTTGAATGAGGGAAAGGCTGGAATGTAGCAATCTGTAATGACATAGATAGATGAAATAGATTAAAAAGCACTAAGTCTAATAGTCTATATTAAACATTGAAGGGCTGGGATTCATCATACAAAATTCTTCATGACAAGGGGCCCAGATCCTGCAGAAAGCAAGTGTTTTTCCCAGTGGGTATGGTATTGGACATCGCCATAGTAAAGTTTCCTATCAACTTTTTGCATCCATATCAATTGGTCACAGACTACTTGACCACTGCAGAACTGCCAAAAATGTAAATCAAAACATTCCAATAGAAGTCTGATTCTAGCAACTAAAACATTTGCCAGAGTAATAACAGTTCACCGGGTGCAGGTGTCTTTTTGTCTCACAAATTGATTCACCTTCACTTATCTCCATAACCTTTGTCATTGCAGTCATTGTTTATCGTCATAGCTGTGTTTCAGAACTTTTCAATTTTCCATCTTCACTATTTCAGCCCTTGGACACCCTTTTCCCAATCTTATTAAAATCAGATCTTAGTTCTCGCTATCGCAAAACAAAGATCTGAGGACATCCCATTACGGGTCACGTCAGAACGACCTTTCATTCAACCAATCAGAGCGTCGCTTACCAGATCATGAAAGTGACAGTTGGAATGTGTTTTCTGATCATGCAACCACGATATATTTAAAACAGGGTATTCCGAACCACAGTTACAGGTTTTATGATTATATCCATACAATCTAGGCCATCTATAAGCCATTCCAGAATATTCTTATCAGTTTTAAATTTTTTAATTGATAATACATCAAAATATGTTTCGAAGCGTAGTCACCAGTTTGAAACTAGTGTCCTTAAGCTCGAGAAAGCTGCCTTCTGATTGGCCAATGTCGAATTCTTTTCAGTAATTTCATTGGTCGGTCAAAATTCGAGAAAGGTCTTTCTGACGTGACCCGTAATGGGATGTCCTCAGATCTTAGCTAAACGGTAGCAAAAACTAAGATCTGATTTTAATGAGATTGCCCTTTACCACATTTACTGTCTTAGTGAAGTGCCCTATTCACTAGTCTAGTAGTAATAGTAAACCTAGCTGATAATACTCCAAATGTTCAGTATAACATCAACTGAAAAAGACAGTGGCTAAAGACATGGCTAAAGACTTAAATGTTTTGGGTACACACTACAATAGTATATCAGGGTGCGATTTCATTTTTCTCTCCTCTGCACCAAGTGTAGGCTGCAGTCAAACAACTGACTGCACAACAGATAAAACGTCTCACTTGACAACAGCTCTTCTGGTTTAGATCTAGCCTCCACATCTAAATTGTCAGAATCAGTATGATCAGCTGATTTTGTCACGTTTTGACATTTGTCAACTTTGATAATCATGGACACTGTGTCCAATTTCGTTTAATGGAAGGACAATTTCAACTGTTTTCTTTTCGACATCTTTACAGTGCTCTACAATAATTAGTGTATAATCTTCAGTCTGATGTCTGTATTTATGGTGACAGCTATAAAGGGATCACCGTGAGGAGATAAATAGTCATCACATGCAGACCAACATTTTGTTTTGTAGCCCTTGGAAACCGGACTATATTCAGCTTTCTTCATTTAGCCTCAAGAGTAAACCAGGTGATTTGATTAGTCTTTATATTCCTTTTTTCTTACAGGAATCAATGTGTATGTAAATTAGTGACGTAGATGGTTTTATTTGGCCTACGTGTATATAGCTAAGATTAATGATCTGTAGTGAACATTAACACTTTCAACACCAGTCAACCAGAAGCTTTTACTGCTGTAACACCGAGTTCCCAGAGACTGGAGTGATAGATGAAGCCTACATTTATCAGGGAAATTATCTGCTTGTAAAACATCTTTGCTACTACAAGTTATACACCATCCGAGATGTCTAATTCTACTGTTCATACATATGAAGGTTATGTTTATTACATTATTCAAATGCCTCTACAACTTAATCAAGTTCACCTTAAATAAAAAATGTAAGCTACACATAAAATAACGTCCAGATTAAGCTCCAAGGAAGCGAAAAATTTAGATTTTTCGGCAAATACAATGTATAAGATTTCTTAATATCCAATTACCTATTTCTTTTTTCTTTTCATTGTTTGCTTAATCAGAAAATTATATTAAAAAGAATTATAAATATCATGTCATCACCCATTTCCCGATATAACTGTCTGTCCGCTCAGTAACATAAGGAAATACTGGGAAATACCTCCATTCTCAAAGCTTCATCATGTTCATATGAATGACATATGCGTCCAGTCATTCGATATTTGGCATCATTAGAAAGCTTATGACTTCATTAATATGACAGTAACCTCCCTGGAGTTTTTTTGTAGCTGAAACATGCGGTTTTATTGGATGAACATGACAGAAGTTGGTTTCTAATATAGCTTTCTTGTCGAAATCTGCTACAAGGTTCATGATTGGTTAAATTTAAGCATGTGACCTAAGGCCGCAATCAAATTACAGCAATGGCTACCGTCTTTGTGTATGATAATTTTCAGATTTAGACGAAAGGGTTTGGTTATATGTGTTATTCTGAACGTCTTATGCAGTCAATCAAGACCCATATTAAAATATGGAACTTTGTGGATGTATCGTGTTAGGCTATGAGCTGTGACAAAGATTTCTCTTGCATATATATTGGCATGAAAAATCGTGTTCCGAGCCTAGAAATCAAGGTTATGAAAGATGTCATTTCACTTACATTGCACACGATCACAGAAAAAAATGGAAATATTAACTTTGATGTAAGTTTGACAACTTTTAGATATATTTTTGTTGATTATATTTATTGCTTTATATAATTTACGTAAAAATACATCTTTATTTTGCTCTTTGACATGCTCTATATGGACCCGTTGTTGAAACGTGTCTCCGAGAATTTTCCCCCATAACATTGCAAGAAATAGTGAATAAATTTATAGTCTATCGATAAAATATGATAAATCAAAATGAAATATGTACTTCAGACATTGTGAAATTTGATAGATTTAATTAAAAAATATGACACGTAGGTTAATAAAATTATGTACTATTTAGCATGTTTAGATGTGGCTATGGCTTGGTCAGTGTACTGGCCTGTGTTGCTGAAAGAGTTAACAGAATGTTAATAGTAAATTTAGCAATTTTATACTCACTGCCGAAAGAAATGCGACCATAGAAACAAACAGAGTAAGTGAGTGAGAATGTTTTTACGCTGCTTTTAGCAATATTCCAGCAATATCACGGGGGGGCACCAGAAATAGGCTTCACACATTGTACCCATGTCGGGAATCGAACCCGGGTCTTCAGTTTGACGAGTGAACGCTTTAACCACTAGGCTACCCAACCGTCCCAGAAACATATAGAAGTATGTACGTTAAGAAGAAGAGATGTTTCCAATGTGTACTACTTAATAACAAAACTAACAATCAGTCAAGTGTAACCACAGAGTTTCTTTATTCTTATCACCATATGCTGCACGTGATTTCCAAACTTTACACGCTAATCCTGCCCATGACTCATGGTGCATCTTGAGTCGTGGATCTATGACATCACATGTGAAGTGTTCATGAGCGTTGGTTCGCACAATATAACAGTATGTTCATTTGTGCATCAAACCTATCTAATATCTCTTGAATATGAGTAATTCTTCATATATTAACCAAAATGTATGGTATTCATGTTTCTTTTGTCGGGGAGTATATTTCAATTTGTTCAGATTTTGTACACATGGTATAAATTTGAAGCAAGTATTATTCATTACCCTTTTTGTGAAATGTTATCGACTGCACTAGTCTGGCCTGCATAAGCTGATTTTAACCTGCACCATTGCAATTTTGTCAATGTTAAATCGCACACTGCATATACAGTGACATAAGCGTTAGGAAGTAAAATACATACTGGGAAGTCCTTGTATGTTTGAAGGTTTTGTCATACTTTAACCAATGGAAATCACATAACCACATAAAAGCGACTTGGCTCATTCCACAGAACCTAAACAGTGGACACTTACCTGGCCATTTTTGTATCCTGGTGCCAAATTCTTGAACTGCTCCTTTGACCCACCTAACTCCACCCTTTCCTGGTATGTATCCAGATCAAACGTGTTGGGTTCAAAAGGCTTTGCTCCAGGGTTGTACCTGCCAGGCTGAGCAGAAATATAAGAAATCTTATCAATCTTGAAAGCAAACTTATCATTCTCTAGAAGCTGTACTTGAGATCTAAGTAAGGGAATAAGATGAAGCATAAGCTAATGACTGTTAAATAAATTCCTACAGAGAGTGACAAGAGATGCAATGTATCTAAATGGGATCTGAAGGTGTGCCATGTATACTTTAGACAGCATGCCATTGGACAAGGACCTTCAAACACTTAACTGCATATTATTTTCCAATTCGCACAAAGTCATTCTTATCACTGCTTATTCTCGAAAACTAATAACATATGAATTGGGTGAGGAATGAACAGACGTCTTTTGGAACACAGTTCCCAACATACTTCTTGCAGGTTGGCGTTAATAGTAAAAAATAATTGAAAGTTTGAAACCTATTCACATTTCACTCTTCCTTTTCATCATGACATTGGCACCAAACTTCTGAATGACGACGGAATGTTCTTACATGTGTACAGTACTTCTCATGAACCCAATTTGGACAAGTTGAACTCTCAAGGCGAAAGCCTTGATGATGTCACACCTCTTGTAATAACAAGACAAATCACTATCAATATGGTTGTTCGAAAATAGGTGTCGAACAGGGTTATTGACGATAAATTACACAGAATGAAATTTGTGAAATGTAATGAAGTTTTTATTCATTCCCTTCAGATTATAACAAATATGGGCACAAACCTTTTCCACTGACCATAAAAGCACATTTGCTCATAGTTTTACAAAAATCAAAAGAAGTGGTACAGTTAAACTGTAATTTCAAAATATTTTACATATGACATGGGAATAAATCATACTGATCATGCTAAGATGAATATGTCATCATCTTAATCATTTGTATAATACTTTGTACTCAATTACTGACATGCACATAAATCTGTGTGAATATGAATGGAACTGACTTTCTACATACAAATGGCTCCCATAAGTAAATAACAGTAGGATGTCCTCTCATTTTCATTGAAAATCTGTGTTGTATCTAATTATTTGTCTTTCTCTTTTTGGGAGCAAAATTACTGAGATATTTTAAACTATTAGAAATCTCCATTCGTATCCTTCAATAAAAGACGTCTCATACAAGAATATGTCAATACCAAACAGCTGACGGGCTTGAGCCTCATGCGGGAAGGTGGTTATATTTAGACCGGTTCACTCTCAGTATAGATGCTGAACATAATCTTATGCGAAATTAATTAAGGGAGCCAAGTATCACAGCTGAGGACGGACAATATCCGTGTTGTCACGAAAACAAAGACATTCTTGAAGAGTAATTCGGTCGGTGGCATTTGCAATGTGTACCGGAGTTGCTACAACACCTAGCGTCAGCTATGGCGACCAACTTCACGTGCAACTCAGCAGAAGTCGCAATGTTTTGAAAACGGTTTCGTCCATATTGTTTGTAATCGATACGCCTGACGCATACATAAGGATGCATCCCCAACCATATAAACAATTTCTTTCATAAGATTTTTCTTTCCATACGAGATACCTGCATTTCTCGTTTGGGATGGCGCCATTTCTTAGATTTTTCAATCGGGTCATCAAGAATTCACAATAACAATCGTTAGAGTGTCGTTTGTAGAGACTCAAAGACTCACCATTGCAAAGACACAATGCGAGACGCAATTACTTATATGTCTGAATGATATGTCTTTCATTCGACTTTTGAAACAACGTCGAGTAGCACCTGTAAATATTTCTCACGTTGACGTATGGAATGCAGGCGGACGATCGAGCCCATCGACATCAACACTCGGTATGTTGACATCGGACGTCAATATACTGTGGCATCTAAATAATTTGACAACCACAAAACTGGATGAAATATGCACAGTTAGATTACCTGCTGCTTAAGCTGGTTATTTCCAGCCGACCTCATCAATCTTATCCTGGTATTTTCATATTTTTCGCTCTCATTCAGCTGGACCGAGAGCGCCATTGACGTTCATTTTGCTGTATGCTAATCGGATGTTTTTATACTATTTTCCCCACGACATATCTTCTCAATTGAGACCCAATGCGTCTGTTGATTCTCGCAATGACTGTTCAGCCTGCGGCGTCAACCTGTAATCAGCAATTTGGATACTACTACTTCATACGGAAGCATTGCTGGCTTTTAATATATATTGCCACATTATACTGTATATATAAAACCACTTCTTAAATCATAAATTTTTATGAGTTCAACATTTTTTCAAGATACAAACAGTGAAGAACTAAATCAACAGACGCATACGGTAACAGGCGTGGAAAGTGAATAACGATATTAGTTTTCAGACAGGATATCCCCAGTTTATGTATGCATGTATTGATGGAAAATCACGAGAAACGAGGGACACTCCGTGAAGTACTGATTGCCTACTAATCTTGCCACAAAACTATGTCAGGAAATTAAGAAGCTTGGTTTGCGCCCTTGCACGATCTGCACGATCCAAGCACCTCACACGTGACACATAGGTAGTGCCTTGCTGAATGTATACAAGTAAAGTACAATCAAATCGTGTACGTTTTTATGACTAAATCTTCGGAAATTCTATTCATACATGTAACGCCACATTAAAAACAATTAAACATGTTTTGGTTTTATTTTCTTGAAGAGTGAGTGAGTATTGTTTTACACCGCTTTTAGAAATATTCCAGCAATATCACGGCGGGGGACACCAGAAATAGGCTTCACACAGTTTCTGAAGAGGTGAATGTACAGTACCCGAAATATATTTCCAAAATCGGCATCCAGGAACTATATACAGTGGTGTGGTGGTGTTTCAGTTATACATGAAAAACTTCGTAGATTGATCGGAGGTGTTTGACTGGCATTCTAGAAGTTGGCAAACAATTAAGAAAAAGTACTTCATGGATAACAACTTCTGGTTTATTGCATATAGCGACGTTTCGATGTAGATTTTCACACCGTTATCAAGCTCGAGTGACAACAACTTACTTACTTACTTACTTACTTACTTACTTTGGAGATTTAACGTGCGCTTTCCGACTGATGCGTATTTCGCACACGGGCCCGGCCAGGCCATTTAATGTGTTTCCGAAAGGGGCGAAGGTGGTCTGTGCAACCCAAGAGGGGGGTTTTAGGGGTTGCTTATATAGAATTTGGGAATTTTGAGATTTGGAATAGATGCCGATGGGATTGGGGAGGAGAACTAAGGGAGCTGGGTATGGTGGATGTTTGTTTGTTTATGTGATTTTGATTTGGTGAGTTATTGTGTTTTTAGATGCGTTTTATTAGTTCCGTTTTGATTAAGAATACGCCTAAGGCCTTGAAGTTTTCTAGTTTATTTTGTGGGTTTAGTATTGCTTCTAGAGTTAGAGCCTTGTTTAGATTGAGGGTGGTTTGTAATGCGGTTCGATGTGTTAGGTAGTGTGTGCAGTGGATGAGTGCGTGTTCTGGGGTTTCTGGTTGTTTGCAGTGTGGGCAGTTACCTGTAGTGTGTTTTTTAAATTTTTTTAGGTGGTTATTTAGGTTGGTGTGTCCTGTTTGGAGTTTAGTGATTACTCTGTCGATTTTTTTGGATGGATGGAGAATTTTTGGTTTGGTTAGTGGTTTGCTGAGCACTTTTTTGATTTGGCTATTTGAGTTAAGATATAGGTTATGCCATTTTTTGGTGATTTTTTGCTTGTTTACACTTTTAATTTCTGATTTTGAGATGGGTAAGTTTAAGCTTATTTCTGGGATTTTGAGGGATAGTTTAGCTGCTTTATCGGCGTTTTCATTACCGTATATTCCTACGTGGGCGGGTATCCACAAGAAGGTTATTTGTTTGCCTGCCTTAGTTAGGTCGTTGGAGCTTTTAAGTATTTGATTTATTAATTTAGGTCGGTTTTTGGTATTTTTGTTTTGGAGGGCTTGCAGTCCACTTAGGGAGTCGGTAAGTATTAGGATTTTTTTGTGGTTTTTGGATTCTTGATTATGGAGGGCTGAGGCCATGCCCATTAGTTCTGCCGTGAATATTGATTGGTTGTTTGGGAGTCGGAAGGATTGTGTGGTTTTAGTTGGTTGTGTGGTATGGACTCCGAAACCTGTGTGTTTGGAGGTCGGATCTGAGGATCCGTCCGTGTAAATGTGACACCAATTTGGCCAATTTTCGTGTATGTATGCTAGTGTGGTAGTTTTTAGCTATGTTTGGGTCGGTTTGTTTATTTATTTGGCTAGCTAGTGTTGTGTCTATTTTGGGTATTTTAAGTTTAGGGGTGAAGATATTTGATTGTTTGCAGTTTTGTTTAAGATTTTTAATTTGGTGTTCATTTAGGTAGTTTGTTATTCTTTGGGATATTGGGGTAAGTAAGGGGTGTTTACGAGCTAGAGCTTGGTTTTGGGGGCTGATGTTTTGGTTTATTAAGTTTTGGATGAGAGGGTTTGATTGGGACGCGGCCCAGAAATTTAAGCTTAGCTGTTCCCTGCGTAGACTTAGTGGCATTTCTCCTGTTAAGGCCTGAAGTGAGGTGTAGGAGGTGCCATGTTGGGTGCGTGTAATTAGTTTGAGAGCCTGATATTGTATTGAGTCAAGTTTTTTAGATAGAGAGTTGTTTAGGGTGTTGTATATGGCGCAGCCGTAGTCTAGTTTTGATCTAATTAGTGATATGTAGAGAGAGAGGAGGGTATCTTTGGATGCTCCCCAGTTAGAGCCAGTTAGGCATCTTAGGGTGTTTAGGTCTTTACTGCATTTAGTTGTTAGGTTTTGGATGTGAGCATCCCAGGTGAGATGTTCATCGAAAATAAGTCCTAAGAATTTGGTTTGTTTTTGAAATTTGATTGTTTGATTGTTTAGCTGGAGGATTGGGGAGGCGGGTTTCATGTTTTTATGTTTGAATACTATTCCTGTTGTTTTTTCTGAGTTAAGGGAGAAGCCCCATTTGTCAGCCCACTGTTGTATTTTATTAAGAGATTTTTGGAGTAAATTTTGGACCATGTTCATGCTTTTAGTGCGGATCCAGATGGCTCCATCATCCGCGAATTTTGATGTGTTTACTTTAGGGGATAGGCCCTCGAATAGATCGTTTATCATTATATTGAAGAGGGTGGGGCTGAGGATACTGCCCTGTGGAGTACCATTTTCTAGGGGACATTGGTCCGATAGAGTTTGGTGACAACAACCAAGTGATGGGAGGTATATACGCATGGCATGTTGTGATTAGCAGCAGATTAACATTGACAACAACGGTAATTGATAACAAGTAAATAACTGGATGAAGCCAAATGTACAGTAAGAATAACAAATAGCACACAGGTAATGAAGCACACAGGTAATGAAGCACACAGGTAATGAAGCACACGGGTAATGAAGCCAGATATACACAGTAAGGATATTAGGATAAGGATTAAAGGAAGCATACAGTTGTGACAAGCTGATTGGATCCTAATTAAGATAGTCTATTGCTTAAAGTCCTGATGTTTTGGGGAGATGATTTGATGGCTAGGACATTTTTGCTGGTGGTCTTGTGTTTTTGCTTGTGTTTTACAAGACTTCAACAGCCATGCATATATACCTTAAGTTATCACAACATGCCATGCATAGACCTCTTATTAGTCCAGCTTGATAACGGCGTAAGAATGAACATCGAATCGTCGCTATATTCAATAAGCCAGAAGTTGCTATCCATAAAGTTGTACGTTTTTCTTATTGTTCGGAAGGTCCAAACGACCAAGCAATCGAACGCAATTTTCCACGCAAACACATGATATGATATCAACGTAATTGTATTACCACTTTTGCTGTGATTATTAGATAATCAGATCGGGTTTGAAATTTCCCATTGGTTATTTTATGCAACGGGTTTGACTGGTTTTCACATGAATATGATTGTTTTGACTGTCATATACAAAAGAGTTGACGCTGCTATTGCATTTGTGAATTTCTATGTGGATTTCTTTGTTTGCTGTTTAACGCCACACTAGGCAATATTCCAGCTATATGACGGCGGTCTGTAAATAATCGATTCTGGACCAGACAATCGAGTTATTGACATCATGAACATCGATCCACGCAATTGGGATACGATGACATGCATCAACCAAGTCACATTGTATGACCACCCGATCCCGTTAGCCGTCTCTTACCACAAGCATAGTCGCCTTTTACGACAAGCATGGGTTGCTGAAGACCTATTCTAACCCGGATGTTCACGGGTCTATTTGTGTTCAACGTGGATTTCTTATGGAGCTCATCACCAAACTCTACCTTTACTAATGCCGGTTATTGTATGACAGATGTTGCCCATGCTATGTTTCTTATTAACTCACTCACACAGAAAATGTTTTGTAGAAGTTAATACACGAGCACTCAGCATTTCCTTACTGAAGGCATACTTCCCTAACGCCTTATATCATTATGTATTTGGATCACTATACCTGAGTCAATTCATTATGCGTATTATTATTATAAATGTATTCTTACCTGCCATCCTCTTCGGAGATTTCTATATTTTCTTCAATTAATAGATTGAATATACATTGATTTCTTTAAAAATAACACATAATATCAACTTTTGTTTATGGGTAGAAACAAAATTGATTTATGTTAATGAAAAGAAAGTAAATTAGATCTATATTCAAAACGTATAAATTAAAATCCTTTACATAAATTGCCGGCCAAAGAAAGCGTAACTTGAAATTTGACCGTAATATTCAAAAACGTTATGAAAATGTTACTAGGCTGAAAACAGTCGTTGAAACAGTGCAAACTCGTAAATACGTCACAGTCGAATAACCATTTCTTGTTTGTTTCATTTTTAGCCTCCATGAAACATTTCTTTTGCCCGGCAGTGCATGTCAAGAAGCCGAAGCGTTGCCGATGCTCTTCGTGTAAGTGATTTCCAGTCCTTCAATTCGGATAATTATAAACGAGAACTTAAAAAAATCAGTTTAAATCTTCGTTTAGGAAATAACTGAAGCAACTGCAGGTGGGTCTAGGATTTTGAAAAAGGGCGTGTGCACACTACACC